AATATATTAATTGTGGTTATTAATGATTTCCAACTTTTATTATTGACGGTTTTTTATTTCATTAATAATGCTCTAGAAAAATTTAGTCTTGATTATGATTTTTGTTATAAGAAGATTAGTTGATGGTAAACCTAATTTTTTGTTAAGTAAAAAATTTGTCCGGGTCGCGAGTGACGGATTCCCAATTCTCTATGTCTATGTCTTGAACATCGTGGACACCTTCTTCCTTCCATAAGTTGCAAACAAGACCCACTAGTACTTTAGCAACCATGTTGCCAAATATTCTAGTTCAATAAACTTGGAGAGGTCGTTTCTTATCTGTACGGATGGTTGCATGATATATAGAATGTGTACGAGGTGGAATCTCGATGAACATGACACTTCTAGTAGTCTAGCCATTTGCTCTTGTCTCATGGATTTTCCCACATGGAAGGCATTGAAGGAAGTTTGGGGTGGCAAAGAAGCTAACATGTTCTCACATAATGTTGATGAGGAAGAGGTGATGTTTGTTAATTCTCCAAACACAAAAGACTATCATATCAGTACCAGTGTTGCACAATGTCTTATTGAATTGATCCATGTTGATATTTGGGGTAGTTGTTCACTCTTATGATGGATTTACCTATTTTGTAACGGTTGTGGATGACGATTTACGAGTTGGTTGGGTTTTCTCGTGAGGCATAAATAAATAAAAATGGATTTACTTAAGAGATTATGTTCCTAAGTAAATACTCATTTTAATGCTAACGTTCGAAGTGGCCAGGGCCAGGAATTTCACATGCATGAATACTACTTGGAACAAGGCATTGAACATCAAATATCATGTGCAGAGACACCTGAACAAATGCAAGGGTAGAAAAGAAACACCATCACATTCTAAATGTTGTTAGGGCAATTAGGTTTCAATGAAAATATCCTACCTTTCAAGGATACTGTTGAGACTCAGGACTTAGTTCTTACCCCTATTCCTTCACCCCCGATCTTTTCTTCAGCCCCACATGTCAGTATATGTCGTTCATCATCATCTGGTCATGATCATTCACCTCATATGACCACATATGAGGGGGGGATATGGTGGTTTCTTCTCCTTCTACTTATTCTTCTTCTCCTCACCATGTTGATCATGTTGAGCTCGACCTTGAGTTGGAACCCTAAGCTCAATTTGATCCACCATCTAGAAGATCTATTAGGCATCTCACACTACCAGCTATACTCCAAGACTGTGAAATGGATCCACAGTTGCAGTTTGGTGTCGTTGGTGCAGCTGTCAAGAAGTACCCTATAAGTCTAGATGTTGATCATCTAAATGCAGCAGACAAAATCTATGCTCTTATTGTTTTATCTCATGTTGAGCCTAATTCCTTTCATAAAGCAGTGAAATATGTTCAATGGAATAGAGTAGTGAATGAACTAGGTGCATTCAATCTTGGGATATAGTGGATGTGTTACCAGATTAGTATCTTGTTGTAAACAAATAGGCGTCTAGATGGTATAATTTACATGTATTAGACAAGATTGATGGGCTTAGGGGTTTACACATATTTATGGGATTGATTTTCTTGATACTTTCTCTACAATTTCAAAACTTAATTTAGTAAAGGCACTATTAGTCGTAGAAGCTATTATAACTATACTTAAGAGCAAATTGATGTTTCCAATGCCTTTCTGCATGGTGATCTGAATGAAGTTGTTTACATTAAATTTTCATTAGGTGTTGAATTACCTCATTCTGTTAGCAAAAGACTGGCTTGTAGGTTGAAGAAGTCCTTTATGGGATAAAACAAGCTTCAAGGAAATTGTTTGTTAAACTGGCTGGTTTTCTGCTTAAGTCTGGTTTCACTAAATCACATCAAATTATTCAATGTTCACTAGATGCTTTCATGGAAGGATAATAATGATACCGGTGTATGCCCCTGATATCATCATTAGAAGATATTCAAAAAAAGATATTGAACAAGTTAAGAAGTATCTAAGCAAAGGATTTACAGTGAAGTTGCTTGGACCACTGAAGTATTTCTTGGGCCTGAAAGTTAAGAGGATAGCTGAAGGATTAGCTGTTTTTCAAAAGAAGTATTGTCTGGAGTTATTAAACGAGACATGTTATATGGATTCAAAGGGATGTCACACCATCTGATTCAAAGGTGAAACTCTCAACCACACAAGGAACACAATTGGAAGATCCTGAACAGTACATGAGGTCGATTGGAAGACTATACTACATTACTATTACAAGACTAGACCTAATATTCTATGTATACAATTTTGCCCGTTCCAGAGGTAGCCACATGGTGAGTACCTCCAGGAAGCCTTTAAGGTTCTGAGATACCTTGAAACATCACCATGCACCAAGGAATACATTTTAGCATAAAAAGACTTGAAGCTTATTGGGTTTTGTGACTCATATTAGGCCAGTTGCATTGACACCATAAGATCCACTACATGTTACTGTAGCTTCCTTGGAAGCTCTTTGCATACTTGGAAAACAAAAACAAACTACAGTTTATGTATCATCATCAGAAGCAGAATCTAGAGCATTGGCATTGTTAGTTTGTGAAATTGAATGGCTAAGAGTGATATTGATAGAATTAAGTGTGCAAATCCCACTTCTAGTATCAGTTTATTATGACAACAGGTCTGTAATACACATGGCAGAGAACCTGATGTTTCATGAGTGGACAAAGCATATCGAAATTGATATGCATGTCATAAGAAAAGACTGAGACCTAGCTTGATTCAGCGGAAGCATGTCAATACCATTAACCAGCTAGCATCCTTGTTCACTAAGGGGATTGGACAAGGGAAGATTGCAAGAACTACTCAGCAATTGGAAGTTTCAATCATCTCCACAACTTGAAATTGTTGGGGGGGGGGGGGGGGGTAGCAAAACTATAGTTGCTTCAAAGAAGAAGAAAGAGTCAATCCATATTGGTCAAGGACCGTGAAAAGAAAAAGGATTTTGGTGAAGAAAAATGTTTTGTTTCTATTAATGTTTACTATAGCTAAACTACGTCATTTGAGTTATTTGTAGTTAGTCATAGTTCATCACTGCTTGAGTTGTAATAGGCCAGTGAAATGGTCACCTAGATACTTAGCTAATTTAAATTAGCTACATAATTAATATAAAATCAGAGAGCAACCCTGCGGCTTTGAGGGTTCTGCTACAATTTCCAAAAATATTTCATGATGAAGGAACGCTCATAATATGTTTGCGAGTTCAGCGTTTTTACGGATGAAGGAGGAAGCCTCCCCTCAGTAAGAGTTAGGGTCTCCTTCTGTTCATCGTCAGAGAAGGGAACGTCGAGCTTTGTTGGCGATTCATTCGCTGAAGTAGAGGTCTTAGAGGACACAGAGGAAGAGGTTGAGAAGGTTTAGAGTTGGAACAAACAAAATAAAATGAAGGGTAAAAATTGTAGCAAAATCTCTCTCCAAATTTCCCGATCCAAACAACTCCATAAGAAAATCTGTTCTTGTCCGAAATGTAAACGTGCAAACTATAAGAGATTATGACCCTGCACATGGCGGGTACACTAATGGGAATGATTATATAATACATTTCTCGTTCCTTTTTACAAATTCCTTACAATAACTAGAGAAATAAACCGACGCCATATCCAACCACATATATCATTAAAATTATTAACTAATGAAGCGATTAGTTACTATATATAAAGGCTATATCTATTTTGTTCCTGTATAAACTTATCATCTCACATGTCAAAACATTAAATCTCGTTATTTGAAAGAATCATTGTTACCTTATCCTGCTCGAGAAAGAAAGCGTTACTGACCCACAATCGTCGTATATTGACTTCGAAAAAGGAGTGACAAAGGCGTGGTGAGAGTAAGAACCGTTATATAGGGCCCTGGGTTATTATTAATTACATCCCCCCACTTTTCCATAGTTGGTGTTAGTTGGGTCATTAAACACCAAGGATAAATAATCACCCTTTTTACTACTATAACACCAAATTCAAAACCTCTCCTTTTGTTTTCCCCCCCACCGAAATCCCCAAAACAACCCTGGTAAAAGGGTGAAAAGGTAAAAGAAGGGCAGCCAACAGGCCAATGGGAGTGACTGCTTGGGTGAAGTGAACCCACCCTCTCTCGAGGAAAACGCCACTGGTCTTTCCTTTTTTACTGCTCAGTAGTTTAATTACTGTTTTGACTTTATTTTTACCACACCACCCAATCATATTCTTTCCTTATAAATAAAAAATAAAAATCTTTTTTCTCTTTTTTGTAGTTTGGTTGGCTATAAATTGCACTGATGATTCCCAATGCCAATCGTCTCCTCCTCTCCCTTCAAGTCAAGTGTCCATTCCTAAACAAACCACCGTCAGAGCGGGGGAAGCATGGAACGTGGCGGCGATGCTGACGGCAACGGCGGCGGTGGAGGGTTCCTCAATCGCAGCCGTCGACATGCAAAACAAAGAGAGGCCGCCGCCGCCCTTGGCCAGCCAGCTGTCTCCGGTATGTAGCGATTCCTCGATCAAGTTTACATTTCACCGTCAGATCTGGAATGCGGTGGATGTTCTCATTCTCACATACGTGCATCAACGTCGTGAAAATCCATTTATCCGCTATGTCGATTAGATATATGGTTAGAATTAGAACGTAAAGATGTATATCCGGAGATATTTGCATGGGCAGGGCCATAGAAACCAGATTGGATTGAGCCATCTAATTAAACAAAAAATGTTTAGAACGTAATTAGAACTCATATTTTAATTTCTGCTGTGTATTAATCTCAATATTAAAAAAAAAATTATATTTGGGGTTGGATGACGTGGAAGCCATGCACGCAGTGAACCACTGACTCGCTCCTCTTTTCTTCCTGCATGCCCAATAAGCGAACGAAGCTCCTCTGACCGTAAATTGACTAATAAATGAGTTGGGCTTTTTGTTATTGTAAGTGGGCCTCTCCCAGAGATGGGCTCCGTCTCGGGCTGACTGTCACATTCAAAGCCCAATGCCCAACTAATAATCACTAACCTCTTTATTTTCCAGATGATTCCTCCTCCAAGATCCGCCTCCCGGCGGCGAACCCAGCCGCTGTCGGCCAGGAACCGCCGCAGCGCCGATCCCTCCCCACTCTCCGGGAGCAGGACCAGTACATGCCAATCGCCAACGTGATCCGGATAATGCGGCGGATCCTGCCCGCCCACGCCAAAATCTCCGACGACGCCAAGGAGACGATCCAGGAGTGCGTCTCCGAGTACATCAGCTTCGTCACCGGCGAGGCTAACGAGCGGTGCCAGCGCGAGCAGCGGAAGACTGTCACCGCCGACGACGTGATCTGGGCAATGGGGAAGCTCGGATTCGACAGCTACGTTGAGCCGCTTTCGCGCTTCCTCGCTAGGTACCGAGAGACGGAGGGCGATCGGGCGTCTTACCGGGACCCGATGATGCTGAAGCGGAGCTCCAATGATTTTGGGGGTATGGTGATGCCGCCTCCGCCGCTGCCACCGCAGCAGCAGCAGATGGTTGGTTATATGCAGGGGAATTTTCTGATGCAGGGCGATCATCTGCAGCAGCAGCAGCAGCAGCAGCAGGGGATGTATGATGGTGGCGTGCTGAATGGGTACTACAGGGATCCGTTCGGGTCGGGTTCGGGCAGTGGGAGCGGCGAGGACGGTGGAGGAACTTCTCAGAATGGGATGTCTGGGTTTGATCTGTATTCTCATTACAAATAATGGCCGGAGAGAAATTTTGATTGGAGTTTTAACCAATTTGGAGAAGTTTTGATTGGAATGGGAAGAAAGGAAAAGCAACCCTCTTAGAGATTTCTACCTTTATTCATGATCTTAGTTGAACATTGGAAGCTTTCATGCTGTTTAAGGTGATGATACATCTATGATCTTCTTTGAAACTGGACTGAGCAATATTACATAGTTGGACTCTGAAGTTCACTAGATATTCTGCTGTCTGGCAGCTTTATCTGTTTCCCAAATACAAATGCTGTTCTATGATGTAGCTGATAACTGAATCCGCGGTTAAGTACTTGATTGACAATCCTCTCGATATGCAGTCCCTGGAATTTGTACATGAGCAAAATAGTGAGGTGCTCTTAAATCCCAACAATGTCCTGGGGTGACTTTGTTCAAGTTCGACAAACGAAATTCAAGTTGTTGAAGTTACCTCAGTCTTGTGGAGCTGATCATGTTTGGTACAGTTTCAGTAACAGGTTTGATGTTATCCTGCAACACCAAGTTCATGTGAGGCTACTGATAAACAAACACCTGAGGTTCAAACTACGATTGCGCAGTGAAGGGCCTCCTTCGGGCTTTTATGAATGGAACATTAAAAAAACAGAAGGAAAGGATGGCGTCATTCCAAATTAAACCTGGTCACTGACTAGTATCATCTACCTTGTGTTGATTCATGATTTCATCAGCAGCTATGATTTGGTTGACGTCGAGCTCTTCCCTACGAATGCAAGCAATACCATAGTCTCTGCAAATGGTCCTTACCTATAAGCACCACAGACAATGTTCATTGTTCAACTCTTTTACTAATCTGGAGACAAAAAAGTGCAAATACTAACACCTCTGCTTTCAACAAACCACAGAACTACCTAACAACATGTTAACTATAAGCCATCATAGGATCTGAACAATTACACCCAAATGAACCTTCTAACTGCAACTTAATCCAACAAGGTTCCAGGGAAGCAGTACCTGATCAGGAATCCAAACCCCAGGAGTGCTAAATGACTGCAGCAGATCAGCACCACAAACAAGCATCACCTTGAGGGATTCTTCCCGATCACAATGCCGCGGGTTAAAAACACATCAGCATTGTTCTCTCACACATCTACCAAAAACGAAGCAACTTAACCTAACTTCAAATGAGTTAGTGACAAAGAGAGGCATTACCTCCAGATATCCGGACTTGATCAATGAAGACGCTTTCAATTCTTTTCAACACAGTCAAAGATCGCTGGTAGGTACTTTGATTTGCCTGTAACACAAGGCTTATTCAATACACTTAGAACCAAGGCTTGTTGTCAAGAATCAGCTAAAAAATTTGCACAGCAGAGCTGAATTGAGTACCTCCCATGGATCAACCATGACGAAATCGGAGCTCTCACAAGCTAAATTACACATGCGCAAGCGATGTTCAGCTGGTATAAGACCCTAAACAACCAAGGGAGTGGGAAAATCAGCTGCAGCATTGACTTTCACAGCTAGATGGGAAAATAGAAGCTAAACATCAAACCGGTTTTTTGTATCCATCGCTGACGGGGGACATGTACCCAGCAATCACACGGTAGCCTTCCATTTGCAATGCATCTCTTGCCAGCTCTAGTTCATACAATTGAACCCAAAATCCAATCCAAGATCATGTTTTTAACGGTCACGGAGTCGAATTTTGATGCGGGTAAGAACAAAAGAAGAGAAAAAAGGAAGCATTGAAAACTTACCAAACATCCTCAAGTGCATGAAAGTAGGAGGGTTGAAGCTTCCGGTGGCGACTAGAACTACCGATACCTTGCCGTCCTCCCTGCTTCGTTTTCACCCCAACGGAGCAGACAAGTTAAATCACCAGACAAGCAATCGAATTGACGATAAGAAAGTAAGCGAGCAGAAATTTGAAGGGTACTCGGTGGAAACAGAGACTTTGTCCATCGGCAGCGGGAAATCCATTGCAGTGGATTTGAAGGGGAAGGTGAAGCCGAGATCGCTGCCGAGAAGGTAAATTTTCCGTTTTGGAAGGAAGCGGATCGATTCGCCGCTGTGTTTATTCAACGCATTCAGCCATTCACTGTCTCGATTTTTAGTGGAGAGATTTGAGAGAAAGCTTGAAGAAAAGTGGAACCGTAAGCGTGGGGAAGACGACGATGAAGCTGCGAAGAAGGAAACGGCATCGTTTTCGACGGTTAGGGGGGCCCAAGTCATCGCTGAGTACTTTTTTGCTTTTGGTCCTTCTACTTTACTTTATCTTGCAGGTCAGGACATTACCCACGCCCAAATGTGAAATGACTTTTCATCAGCGCCGTCAGAGTACATCGGAATTGCAATTGCATCCCTCCTAACCCCGGCGAGGCGGCGACCTCAACCCCCCGCCTCACACGGAGATACACAGAGCTTTCAAATGGAGGAGATCGTGTAAAACCGGTGAAAGTTTGGAAGATGACGACTATAGAAAAGCTGCTGGTGCCGATCTTTGAGAGGGATAAGTTGATGATTTTCCAGCTCAAGGAGACTGGACTCTCCGATCAGTATCTCGCTTCCATACGAGTCATTTGGCGGAATCTCCCCATGGCTATTGTCCTCCTCTTTCGTCCTCTATTCCATTTCATCCAAATGGTGAGTTCTTTCTTGCCGCTGCGAATATTCCTCAATCGAATTTTGCCGTGCAAATGAACAGATTGTGATGAATTTTACTACAGCTCTGTCGACCTTGTAGAAATTACGGACGCCACTTCGAGTTCTCAGTCTCAGTATCTTACAAAAGCTATGGCATCGTACTGATTTTGCTAAAACTTCATGCAAATGATGAGCTTGATCCTGGTGTCTGTGCTAGGTCTGATTTGACATGAATATTATAGTAAGAGAGAACTGGAAGAGACCGAGTCTTTTGAGGGGAAAAGAATGACAACTAACCGGTCCTGTATATGAGATTCTTGGTGTGAGCAAATATATTCTGATATTGCCAGGGAAGATGTGTTTGAAATTCTACTGGCTAGCCAATGCAGCAGTCTAATCAGCCAGTCTGGCTGTGGCTTTTGGTAGAATTTTGGAAACAGAAGTTAGTGGCGTTCGTTCGTTCATTCGGGTGGAGGTACAAGCGCTAGATGTTGAAGCCTTCAGGCCAATGTTGCAGAGGAGTCTTTGGAGGTGGTCAATTCCATTCATAGTGGTGCTGAAGATGGTATACTTGGGCTGCCCACTGACAGATCCTCATAACAGACTTATTATGGCAACAGGTTATGGGAAAAGGGTTAATAGATGTTCGAATTTTAGATCCTTAATGGGAAATAGAAATGGAGAGTAATGGTGCCTTCGTGAGAGGAAAAAGTTCCAATTGATGTCACCAGGGTTAAAATCCAGATTATCCCCCCACTCATATGAAAGAGGGTGATGTGCTGAAAGCACCATCGTCAGCTCGGAAAAATGTGGAGCCGTTCCACCTGAAAAGGCCATAGAATCTCCTGGCTTGGTTTCCAATAGCATTGAAGTTAACTCATGGTCAGCAGGCAAAGATGACATGCCAATGCAGCTAGAGAAATTTGATTTTGATGACGTAGAAGTTTACAGAACTTCTAATTCTGACATCAAGGATGAGAAAGGCACCTATCAGAGAAACAATCCCTTACAGTGCGATGGTGAATCTTCTACCTGTATATTACTGAAGTAGCTTCTGTTCAACAATGAGAACGGCACAGCTTGCTGCCGATTATGTCTTCGTTAAGGGGTTCGATGGCCAGGAAAAGCGAGGAGAACCCTTGGAAGGATTCAGTGCAAGATCTTGGGTAGGGCTCCTTTGTTTCTGTTAATGCGAGTAACATAACGCTGTACAGGTCAGGCTAAAGTTGTCTTTTATCAGAATCAGCATGTATGTATTTCTTCGTGGGTTCATTCATCGCCTCAACAAAGGCACGTAAAGATTGGCGATAGACCAAGTATTCCTGGTATACTGCTTCAAGCTTGACAATCACTGGAGTTTCAGCCCTTACCCGGTACAACATAAGTCCAATTGCTGGAACGTAGTTAAGCCATTGTCCAATATCACTATCCGAGGAGGGCCAAGTTTCATCTCAAGATCCTGATAGAATGTATTTTGGAAGCACAGACGTTCTCACTCGTACTGAAAACTGAAAACAATATGCAGATGAAAAGGCTCTAATTTTGGGAAGGAATAGCAATCCATCAGAATATCAAAACCATTCTCCGCTTCTGTGGATTGATTGCCACTGATCAAAATGTGCCAGAGTTGGAGTTGTAGAAACAGATTATGAAGTGACCTTGTATTGTCAGAAATGTGCAAGACTACGATGGTCCCTATATAAATGGAGCTTAAAGAGAACAGTGATACAGAAGAGATTCAGGAAAGCCAAATCTGTCGAGGGGAAACGAGTCGGTAAATGCTAGCTCTGGCTTATTGGAGAAGAGCTAAATATAAAAACAATATTGTATAGTAGGTAGCTGCTGCTACTAGAGGTAATCTCTCTTTCCATTGTCTTTCTGCTATTTCTTTCTTGATGCGTGGTGAATTATTCCCCTTCAGAACAATCTGCTGTTGCAGAACTCTCCGACATTTTGATTCTAAACCACAATGTCTCATTATATATGACCTCAGAAGTCCTAGTTAAGGCAGTGAAAGATTTAGGAAGCAGTTCTTTTTATCATCAGTAAAAAGGTCTGTGTTCCCTTCATTGTGCATTCTATGTAAACAGGAATAGAATGATGCAGGTAATGTAGATTATCTTTATGGCGGCAAGACCAGATATATTGTATTTACTCTTTATCCTATCCTAGTCAAAGCTTTGTTTTTATATTTTGTCCGGCTTTTTTTTTTTTTTTGAACAAATTTTTTGTCCGGCTTTGTAACGGCTATATCTGATGTGGATTACAACAAACATAAAGATAGTGCATTAGTGGGCTGGACCTGGGCCCACGAAACCTTAACATCACATGCCTGCCTGCCTCCATCCTTCTCCTTCTACTTCTACATTATTCAATTCACATCAGCCTCACAGTCACATGTTCTTGGATTTGTTCATGTTCCAGCGACACTTGTGTATATTTTCTGTAACACTTTTCTCTTTCTGCTCAAAATTCACCGCCCCTCATTAAAACTAATCTCCATGGAATTCAACGCCTGCTCAGAATGTTCATTGAAGCAACTAAAAAAACGAAGAGGAAGCCACCGAACTCAAATAACGGTCTCTTTTGATTTTTTTTCTTCGTGCAGGAACATGGGGTGCGGCCCAATAAAGTCCGAGCTCCTGACTGGATCCAACTGTAAGGCCCACTTATCCGATATCCAGACCCAGTCAATTCAGCGAAACACCTTCTTGTTCCGACGTCGTTTGGTGCTGCAAAAAGGTTTCTTTTCCCCCCTTTTATATATTTCAATTTTCAATCACCGACGCGCCCATCTTCTCTTTCCGTTTAAACCCCCCATTTTCCCACCGCCACTCTTCTCTTCTCTATCCCTTTGCTCCTCCATTGATTCCCACTCCAAGAACTGCTCTCTTAACAGTCTTGAATCCCCAACTACCCAGAGAGAAAAGAAGATAGCCCAATTGAATCTCCAAACAAGATTCTTACTCGATTCCCATCGATGATTCCTTTCTCCACCCTCTTCTTCCTCCTCTTCCTCACTTCCGCCGCCGCCGCCGCCGCCGCCGCCCCAGGAGGATTCGGCAACCACACTTTCGAATTCGACTTCCCTTCCTTGTCCATCCGCAACCTCACCCTCCTCGGCGACTCCTACCTCCGAAACGGCGCCGTCGGCCTCACCCGCGACGTCACCGTCCCGACCTCGAGCTCCGGCACCGTCGTCTACAACGAACCAATCCCCTTCTCCGACCCGGAATCCGCCCCGCCGTCCGCCGCGTCCTTCTCGACCCGATTCACTTTCTCCATCGGCAACGTCAACCCGAGCTCCTTCGGCGACGGCCTCGCCTTCTTCCTCTCCCGAGACAACGACACCCTCGGCAGCGCCGGCGGGTACCTCGGCCTCGTCAACGCCACCCAGCTGACCAAGAACAAGTTCGTCGCCGTCGAATTCGACACCCGGGTCGACCCCCACTTCGCCGACCCGAGCGAGAACCACGTCGGGCTCGACATCGACAGCCTGATTTCGGTCAAGACTGCGGATCCCCTGTCGCAGGGGATCGATTTGAAGAGCGGCGAAAAGATCACCGCGTGGGTCGATTACGACCACGTTGCTGAAATCTTGGATGTCTTCTTGAGCTTCTCGAGCTCGAAACCGGAAACCCCTCTTCTCTCCGTCGACGACGTCGACCTCTCCGAGTACTTGCGAGGGAACGTGTATGTTGGATTCTCCGGGTCGACGGAAGGATCGACGGAGCTCCACTCGATTCACAGCTGGAGCTTCAATTTGACCGGAGAAGGAGCTCTGCTGATACCCAGATCGACGAATCCGCCACACAACGTCTCCGACAATTCGATCTTCATCCCCTCGCCGGAGATTAGGATTGCCGATTCGGGAAACAAGAACCACAAGAAGCTCGGGTTGGGGCTGGGAATCGCCGGTCCTTCCTTCTTCTGCGCGTGCCTCGTGGTTCTCGGGTTCATCTCGGTCAAGAAATGGCAGAAGACGAAAGGTGCAGAGAAAGCAGAGCAGCTGGTGGCGGCAGGGAGGCCGAAGGAATTCAATTACAGAGATCTGAAATCGGCGACGAGAGGGTTCCATTCCAGCAGAATCATCGGGAAGGGCGCGTTCGGTAACGTCTACAAGGCCTTCTTCGTCTCTACCGGAACAATCGCCGCCGTCAAGAGGTCCAAACACGCTCACGAGGAAGGGAAAACAGAGTTCCTCGCCGAGCTCACCATAATCGCCGGCCTCCGCCACAAGAACCTCGTCCAGCTCCTCGGATGGTGCGTGGAAAAGGGCGAGCTCTTATTAGTCTACGAGCTCATGCCACACGGCAGCCTCGACAAAGCCCTCCACCACGACGGCGGCGGCGGAGGAGTGCTCCTCTCGTGGGAACAGAGGCGAAACGTCGCCGTCGGTCTAGCCTCCGCCCTGACGTATCTACACCAGGAGTGCGAGCAGCAGGTGATTCACAGGGACATCAAATCGAGCAACGTGATGCTGGACGCGAATTTCAGCGCGAGGTTGGGCGATTTCGGATTGGCGAGGCTGATGGACCACGACAAGAGCCCTGTTTCGACCCTGACGGCGGGGACGATGGGGTATCTGGCGCCGGAGTATCTCCACTACGGCAAGGCGACGGAGAAGACGGATGTGTTCAGTTATGGAGTCGTGTTGCTTGAATTGGCCTGCGGGAGGAGGCCGATTGAGAGGGAGGCGGAGAGCCAGAGGATGGTGAATTTGGTGGATTGGGTTTGGGGATTGTACGGTGAAGGGAAAGTTTTGGAAGCTGCTGATGAGAGACTCAAGGGGGAGTTTGAGATTGAAGATGTGAGGAAGATGCTGATGGTTGGATTGAGCTGTGCGAATCCGGATAGCGGCGAGAGGCCGACGATGAGGAGAGTGCTTCAGATGTTGAATGGGGAAGCTGAAGTTAAGGCTGTGGCTAAGAGTAAGCCTACTCTCACTTTCTCCTGTGGGTTGAGTCTTTCTCTTGAGGATATTACCTCTGGCTGTGAATAGAGATGAGAGATTCTTCTGCACACTGCTCTACTGCTGGTTAATACTAGTGTACTATACTTGATTGTTTGATTCTTTCAATCACTTTGTTTTTGTTGAGTTGGTAGTGTGATCAGAGATTTGGAAGAAGAAGAAAGGCAGCCTGTAGATACCGAGAGTTCAACTTCAAACATAGTGTTTGTGTTTGTAATGAACTGAAACTGTAAATCTGGTCTCTACCCAGAATCTAATTCGAACATTTCGGATTGTTCCTGATAATAAAACTCCTCAATCCATTGTCCAAGTTTCAATCTTTATGCATTTTTTGTGTTGATATGGTTAGCAAACTACAGGTTCCTGTTGAAACCAGAGTTGTGCAGTTATGATGCACACGTCTGTAGTAATCTCTGCCCAGAAGCAGAGTTGAGAGTTGCGGTTCAATAGGGATTTGCTGATAATGATATATGAACAAGCATATGATGAATCCAGACTGTTCAAGTGTGGATCTTGACGCAGTTGAACAGGTAATCAGTGAAAGAGACAGCTACTAATTAATTGCTACTACATCAGCAAGTAGAGAATAACTAGGACGCCAGCGAGGGCAGTGATGAAGTAAGAGGCAATGGTCATCTTGACGGTGGAATTCACGGCCGGCGGCCAGTCCCAGACTAGATCGCTGTTGTTGTTCACACCTGGCGCTGGGCTCGGCCCGTAATCCTGATCGTGGTGTGCTCCTTCGTCCTTTTCCTTCTCTGCCATGACTCGAACCACTAGCTTCTGGCCGGCAATGCAGCTTCCGGCCTTGCCGCTGATGAAGTAGAACAGCCCCGGGCGATCAAACTGGAATGTGGCATTTCCTCCGCCGCCGTTCAGTTGGAGAATTGGGTCGGAAACAATGCAGTTGGTGTAGGCGGTCGAGTTCACTAGCAGCACCGAGTCGGATTCATTACCCCTGTAAATGAAATCTGGGAGGAATAGGATTAAAGAGAAGTTTCAAAATTTGGGGGAAATGAGGAAGGAAGTTGATTAGTGGTGTGACTTACTGAGCCAGTCGCCGACGTGAAACCTGTTGTTTGTAGCCCATTGGTCGTAGTAGTTGTCGCCGTCGGCGGGTGGTTCCGCCCAGCCTCTGCTGCCGCCGACTTGAAACTGCAGAGAAGAAACAGGGGTGGTGGAGAGGGTAGAGAAGAGGAAGAAGATGGAGATGAGAACGGCGAAGAGGCGGTAGAAGAGGATAACTGAAGCTGCCATTTTCGTGCTCGATCTTTCCTGTTTTGGTTGGAAGTGAAGAATTTGCTTTGCTGCTAATGGGATTTTATTGCAGCGGAGAAAGCAAAATTAGGAGAACAGAGCGCCGGTTTGAAATTGGGCGGTTGGGGGATTCAGTTATCTTTTTCGCCGGCGACGTGGGGCGAGGTTAGCTTGACGGTTATATTTTGTTGGGCTTGTGGGGAACGCCGGCAAGCCTGATTTCTTTAATTTGGGCCCGTGGGGCTTGGGCTGGACTGAGATTTCAACCACTGCTACATCCTTACAGAAGGAATGAATTCAGATGACAACATTCCACTCAATTTGTTCTCCATACATACAATACAATCCTTTCCCCAACTGGTTTCTACTGTGAAGGAAGGAAGGATGACATTCACATCATCACATATGAGTAGCTCTCATCTCTTCCACCTCAACGACATCACGGGACGAACAACTACCACTCGACTCGTATTCTTCTTCCTCATCGACACTTGTTCTTCCTTCATCCCCACGGTGTCCCTCGCCTACCAAATCCATGGTCTTCTTCCTCCTCCATCCCAACCCAACAACATCATCTGCTGAATCGGCAAGGAGAGCCCTGGAAACTGGCGACCTGCATATCTCTTTATACGTCTCATAATCTGCAGCGCAAGTCTTCCCTCTATCCAGAATCCCCGACAGGGGATGCACCGTGGATATCACATCGTTGCTCCCTTCCAATGTCTCTTTCAGAAGTAGAAAGTCAGAAACAAACTCCGGCTTGCTGAAGTGAACCAGGACTGCACTTTCATCCACTCGAAAGACTGATGCAACCGAGGTTGGACCAAAGACTTTGCATATGCACTCCTTGATCTCCCTTGCCTTGAGCTTGGATGGGAACCTCCATATCAGAACAACATTCTCAAACACAATCTTCGAGAATCGCTGGCTCGGTCTGCTATTAGATCCAACAGGATCTATCTGTTTTCCGGTGACTAGGTCGATGATGTTGCTATTGATCCAGCTCAAGTAGAGGCGATTGATGTGCTTCTCGAGGTTCTCGTTGAGGGCCAAGTTCAGTGGAGAAGGTGAATGTTGGTTAAAATCAATACCGAGATGCTGGCATGCCTGTGCAAAGATGCAACCGGTCATGAAAGCATCATATCCTGCTTCATGTTTGGCTCCTGAATTCCAGTCTGTGGACCTGCGCAAAGAAATTAACAACACACATCAACACAGGTAGTGCTTTTGAAAGATGCATCAACAGAACTTTTTGCAGAGGATAATAGCTTAAACCTGGGTTTGTTTCAACATATGGCAACCAAGGAAATAAGAGCAAACAAATTGCACAGAACTAAGAAATCAGAGAGTGCACCTTGTATCGTCCATTTCCACCTCCACTTTCACACTTGGACAAGAACCCGAGTTGGATCCGTTATCGACGCCCAAAGTGATCTGTCGACAAAGTAAAAGATAGGCCGAGGAGAGCGATGTGCTTGCTTTTTTCATCCTTTTTTGCAGTAAGTGACTTGAATTCAAGAGAATTTTGGTGTCAACAATGCAAGGAAAATGCTTGTTCAATGATGAAACAAACTCTTCAGCTGTGCTAGGGAGAGGACCCAAGAACTTACTGTATACATGTGCAATATCTGCATTACACAAGCTAATAAATCTCAGCAGGACATATGACCCGAAAGTCTATAGTAGAGAAAAAATAATGCTTACCCAAGAAGCAATTATGACCGACAATAAACTTTTTCTCAGAAGAAAGAAGGTCTATAACATGGCGAAACCCAATTGCAGCTTTGATCTTCTTCTCTGCATCTCTATGGTATTCGTTCTTCACCTCTGTCTGCATTAAATATAAAACTAATGAAGTCCTTTTATCTCTCAAACATGTTTCAATATTGCTGTTTGGCAAGCTACAAATATTTCATGTCTTCCCATTTCCCGTTTAAAATAAAAGAGCAGCATCTCCAAACAAAACTCTAAGATAACTGAACCTTTCGATCATGCGTGTGTAAATGACCAGTAGACGGACATAAAAGTTACCAGTAATAAGGCCTTGTCACTCTCTGCGTCTGTATACACAACAAGTTGTTCGGACCAAGAGTTTTCACCACAGACACGAATGTAAACAAGATCATTGAAATGTTGCTTGGTAACCTGCAGGTAATCGATTTTCAAGTTTAGTTATACAAAGGAAGTCTTAAAACCTCAAGCACAAAACAGAAGCAAAACCTATTGAATCCAATTCCACATACAAGGATAATGAGTTTATTAATATTGGAAGGGTTCAAAATTCCTCCATAACTCTTAGTAATGGGGATCAAGCACAGAGAGCAAATATATCATCTTTCCAACTTAGAAAGTTGATATGACATCCAATATCAGAACTGCTTCAAAATTTTCGATAGCACAAGTTAAGTAAAATGAGTATGGTAAAGAAGCATCACCATCCGGATCAAATTAAGTTGATGAGAGGTGAAACCACTCAGAGAGACAGCTGGGCGCATCTTAAAGAAAACAGTCTGAAACTGTTGCTTCGAATCTGTTGAGGTGTCATGGCACTGGGAAGTATCATTTTTAGTGGTCTGTAATAAACCAGAACGCCACTTGCTCAATTTGTCTTTCATTCGGTTGATGAACAGAACATCAGTCAAATTAGGCAACGGTGTGCCTTCCCCATCTTCAGAGTTATTCGACAAGTCTGATAACCTCTTATCATGGAGAGTCAAGCGACGCAATGCTTCGTCTTCTTGTCCTCTGGACAAATAAGATATCCCTGAATTAACGAAGAGTGGTAAATAACAACAAAGTAGAAGCATCCTAGCAAGAGCTCTACAGCTAGAGCCCTAGCTAGTTCTGATTGTGCTATACAGACAGCAAAGCAATTGTACCTTCACGAATACATGTATTGAAATCGAACTGATACTTGGCCAAGAACTCCAAGGATGATGTCTGGCAGAGGAACTCATGGGAAGGGCCACCAGAGAGAAGCTCTTCGCGTGGAAATACAAAGAAATTATGCCTGCCAGAAATGATTCATGCCAAGCAGAGTCATAAACCAAACTAAACTACCCTCTCCAATTTCAAATTTGTGGCACAAGCAAATTCAGAAAACCATCAAAGTTCAAGTTTTTCCGCATTTCTACCTAGATATCAGTTTAGACATTCCCAGCAAAAGCAAACAAACAATGTCTAGACTCTAGAGCAATCAACCATATAAGCAGAGCCCTTATGGTAACACATCTTAAGCTCTCTCCGAGGAAAGGACTCAGGGACAGAGCTCAGTTTCGAGAAAGTAAAGAGGAAAAGCAGGGGGAGCTGTTTCTTACGGGCGAGCTATGAAGGATTGCCGTTGAGAGTCCCAACGGAAGGGGCAAACGCCGAATTGAACGACAGCGAACTTCTCGACGGAATCCTTGACCTTGAGGTACCTAACATCGAAGCGATCGAACTCGAAGGACTCCCTCCATGGCGCACTGATGACGCCGGTCATCTCTAAATCGATGGCGACGAAATCGGCGGCGCGGACATGGGTTCTGAGCTCGGCGAGCGCGGATTCGAAGTTGGACTTCGTCACATGTTTGAGAGGGAACGAAGTCGACGATGAGGAGGAAGAAGCAGACGAGGAACAGTAGGCCCGTGAAAGGGCACTTGAGAGCCGAGGCAGCCATTGCTTCTTGCTCATCTTCGCCTTCTGACCATATTCTTTAGCAGCGCGGTGGGTAAATGGGTTTGGGGTTCTCACTTCTCAGGGTTTAGAGGAGGAGGAAGAAGACGACTCACCAAAGTAAAGCCATCGAACTACGACGTCGTTTCGCCGCTACTTTTACTCCGACGAGAGAACACAAAAAACAACTCACAGGGCTTCTTTTTCTCTGAATCAAAAGAAGAAAAAATTGCTTCTTTTCCCCTGCTTATTTCCAATTCCAAATCCGGAGAATGCACAAATGGAGAAATCACAAGGCTGTAGGTAATGAACCCTATTGTTGTATTGGTGACTTTACAAATTACAAGCAATACTTTCTCTGAATGCTGGATTGGCAGTTTTGTCTTGGTGGGCAGTGATCTTTGGATATACAAAAAGTGCACTTCTTTTCCTCGGATGATTCATTTAGCAAGCAGCCTGCCCTGAACCCTTCCCAGTTCCCACCATGGAAGGAATCCCAAAGGGAAAGGCTCAAACTTTCTCCTCTCTCATAAGTCATAATGTTTCTTTGCTCCTGAGGCCAGTTATCTTTTGCAGAGGAACAATGCACTGTTGTCCTCCCTCTGTACAGAGTAGCCAGAGAGAGGGAAAGATGGAGGCAGCTTTCCAGTTGCTGCAGAGACCGCTCTTATTTATGATGTTCGTTTTACAGAGGCACGAACCAGGCGAGCTGCAAAGGCTCCATCCACCGAGTGTTTCGCTGGGTTGGAGGCAAAGAAACCCCGGTTTGTTACAAATGCTGCAGGAATCCATCTGTCTACTGGATCGATGTTGAATTCCTGTCCACAGAAATGAATGAATTGGTCAGTGGCATGTGTTGAATATGTAGCAGTATTGATAATCATATGCACAATCCACCAGAGGGAGAGAGTGAACGGCCCGGCTTCTTACAGGATGCCTGAGGAGAAATGCTTCCACTCTTTCCTCGTTTTCCTCTGGATCTATGGAGCAGGTACTGTATACCAACACTCCACCAGGCCTCACCAACCTGCAATGTGAATGTGACGACACAGGAAACGTATCAGAAGCAGGAATCCCGAGCTGTCCCTCCATATGACAGGGAGAGCTAACCAATTTTGTATCTTACGTAGAAGCTGCATCGAGGAGCTCATCTTGCAGATTCGTCAGTTCTTCCAAATCTTCTACCCTCCTGTTCCATCTCAAATCTGCCCTCTTCAAAAGGCACAAGTCATCTCAGAAAGGAGCATTTTGTTTGCCAGATAACCAACAGATTGAGTAAAGCACTCGACATAAAGCACTACGGAGGTCAATTGCCAAAGCATACCTTGGATAGAACACCAAGCCCGGAACACGGAGCATCCAGCAAAACTTTGTCATATTTCTCTTTTGTTTCCTCCTAAAAGTTACATTAAGATATAGAGGCATTACGTTTACAGTTTATCCTCTTTTATTTCTCTTAAGAATTTCAATTTTCACTCTGATTATGACTTACAGCAAATGTTCGAAGATCAGCAGCCACTGTGGTGATAATTCCATCAACTTGATGCACTTGCGCTGTGTCTTTAAGAATTCTCAACCGACCTTTGTTCACATCAATTGCATATACCTTGCCTGCAAGACATAAAATATCCCCACATGCTCGACGAGTAAAGAGGTATTCTTTTCACTTTGAAACTAATGAAAGCAATCTCCCGAAAACAAAGAGAAACTAGAGTTTTTCACACACACACACAAAGAAAAGAGAAATTGAAGCATGAGGAATAAGAAACTGTTATATAGAAGCTGCTCATCTGATTGGATGAGAAAGAGGCATCCATATTAAGTGGAAGAAACAATGAGCTTTTTATATGGAAGAAACAATGAGCTTTTAGAAGTGAAATACCATGATGTTTCATCAAAGCAGCCATATAAAGAGTCTTTCCTCCAGGAGCAGCACAACAGTCAATTATGGTTTCATTCGGTTGAGGATCCACAACAGAAACCACCATTCCTGCAAAAAATTGGCACAACTGTGAAGGATAGCTCCCAAAGAAAGGAGATGGAGAATGCTATTGAAGCTTTAACAGACACTTTGTATCTTCTGTTAACTTCCTCTATCCTTCCTAAGTTTTTGTTTCCGCAGAATGATGGTGGTCGATCAAATTATCATTGGAACTTCACATCTATTTTGACAATGTCATCAATCGTTTAGGACATGTTATAATGCAGGTAGAGAAAGAGTTAATTAATCATTTAAGTTAATTTATTCTTATATGTTCAAAAGATGCTGATGATCTCTAGCAACAATACACTTATTGATTTTCGTTTTCCTTCTTCACCACCTATTCCAGAAGATAAGCAGAGTATGTATGACCTGCACTCTCGTCCTGAACTGCACATAGACCTTGTTTCAGCAATCCAGCTTGTAAAACAGCCTGAGAAAAGACAAACTATACGTTGTCAGAGCCCTGGACATCGATAGTCTCTTAATAACACTTGGTCAATACAGCTTTGACCAATGTGAAATACCTGCATTCCAGTTCTGATGCGAACAAAATCATCCAAATGCAAAGACAGCTCATGAGGTACCTGCAACTCAAAGCCTGGAAATCAATGATTCAAAAGAAAGTATCTACTAACTACTGCAGGAGACCAGATATGTGGTAGTCTTTTAAGGTATTGCCTTATTTAGAGAACAATCCTTCTCATATAATGCTATAGATTATGATGATGCACCTTCCTTTGGAAATCCAAGATGATGTTCTTTGTTGCATTAATACCAACGAGCAAATACAGATCAAGTACCTTCAAAACTTGAAGTTGCTTCACAAGGTCATCTCTTGAAAATCCTTTTCCACAATTTGCCCTGGAAAATTTATGAGAAATAGTTATTGGAAGCACTCAGTAACCAAAGTTGAGGAAAGCAAACTGACTAGTAGTGGGCAACCTCAAGCTGAAACTGGGATCACTGTTGTTCCAAACCATCAACCTAACTGTTTCTTCTTGTCCAAGATACTTTGTCCAACGCCTTACCATCCACTACCAAGGGCAAAGAACATGGACATTAGAAATGTCATCCTGGGTCCAGATTACATGATTGTCCTTTCACTCAAACTCTTTTCATCTAATAGTTTAAAGAACAAAATAACAATCTTCTGACAAGTTACAGGCATTCCCTCTTATCATGTCAAGCAAATTACAGGGAGCTATGCAAAATCTCCCAAGTCCTGACTATCAACTTTGTGAGCTAACACAACAACGCAATTCTGTTGTCCAACAAAATATAACGTCTTCCTGCAGTTACACTACAGTAAATAAAGTCATAGAACAAGTTCTGCATTGAACTAACTCACCACAGGATGAGAATGAATGGTGGCTAGGGCACGAGCTTGCGTCCGATCATCACCTTCTACTTTGGGTAGAGGAAGGGAGTCATTATCCTGCAATTTTGAAAAATTAGTAGCACAGAAACTTCTGACCATCTCATCCTAGATAACCATGAAGAGCAATAAATTCCCTTTTTGCATGATGAGAAATAGGAGGCACAAACCTTTACCACCAATAGCTTTCTCAGAATGCCATTGACCAGATTACCGGCACCAGGTCTCAGTGCAGCTTTTGCCAGCCTAACGTTCTGCATTGTAAAGGCAAACATGCAAATTGATAAAACATCATAAGAAAAATGAAGAGAATAATATAGAAAAAAGAGAGGGAGAGAAAGGGTGCAACAAGTTTACCTCATCTACAACAGCATAAGGTGGCATGTCTAGCTTGAGAATCTCATAAAATCCAATTCGAAGAATCTGAAAAGGCATGGGGCAGATAATGTTATGTTAGCTAGGTTCTAGTACTCTAAACAGCATCTGGTGGTTTTATGTTGCTGCAATAGGCATATTTGGTACTCATTGTGAGCTTGGAGTATATGGTAAATTGGTAATTGATAATTCTGGTGAGGTGCACGATCTGGTCTATGCCAGATTATTGTCAACCTCACAAGGAGTACCTAAGTCAGTAGCAATAATAGCTACCGCATCTCCAATGTACTAATTGTCAATATATGTAGAAGTGCAACTGTGCAACTGATAAGAAAGATCTAAAGTGTCATACCAAGGTATATGAAAGGAAAAATCAGCAAATCCAGAAATGATTATAAAATTTATGAAACCAATTGTTCACGAACAGCATATGCAATTCATACTACCTGCAAGAGAAGAGGTTCCATGCTCCGAAATACTCTCTCGTCGTGACACAATGAGCAAATTAAATGATCAAGATACCTCCTCCAGCGAATGGTACCTCCAACAACATCTGTAACCTGCATCGTCCCATCACAAAGTGAATCACAAAATGGACGTCTGTACTAAACAAGCCTTTGTAATTCTCACTTCAAATTTACTTCTCAAACTTAACACTTCCAAGTGTGAAAGATACCAGTCTAAGATCCCGGTCATCTAAGTCCTTGGTACGAAATCCAAGAGTTCTTCCCACATATCCCATTTCATTCTCACCGGAACCTTTCCCCTTCTCATTCAATAAATCAGCAAATGCACCACCCATCTCTATTCTCATCAACCTTACAGCAGATACTGCAAAAAAAAAAAGTGTAAAGCTGGACAACTCTTCAATTCTTTCAGATTATATACTGGATAAATAAGGGGGAAATTCATGTGAATACCAGCTCTATGGGGCGAAACATCCGAATTCAATTTGTGGGTTTTTCTTAACGGAGTAACAGCACCTGGAAACCACAATATACATTACCGGAATCAAACTCTGAAGAAGCTAACCAGCAAGAATGATTGCCAAGGAATACCATTTCTTCTGCATTCTAATTTCTCTCTTTGAGCAAAGCACAGAGAAAAGGTTTACCCCTTTTAGGGACGGAAACTGACGTCTTGAACTTGTGGGTAGTCCTCTGCGGTGGCTTGGCTGGTCTTGCGTGGCGTGTGTCAGCAGAATGAAACACTTCTTGGAGGGAAAGCACTTGCGCCATTGTTCCAACTTCCAAGTTCGAACTTCATCCAGCTCGCGAGTTGCAGAGCAAAGAAGATAAATAGACGGATAATAACAATTGCCGTTTTCTTTGCATGTCGTGAAATGGGTTTGGGCTTATAATTCCAGGCCTACTGTATGGCCTTTTGATATGTACTTCGAAGGCTTTTCCCAATCTCAGCTTGCTCCACACTTGGGTTGTTTCAGGCCCATAATTTCTCACAAATATGAAATAGCCTCTGATCTTTAATCCTAGGCAAAATACACTTGTATAGCCAAAACTTTCGCGTTTATGCCAATAATAGTCAAATTTGAATAAATACCACTTATAGCCAGCTTTAAACTTGTTGTAGGACAAATATAGCCATTTCCGTTAGATACTTTGACGTTGTTAGTAACACCGTCAATTTATTTGACGGTTCGCTGACTAGGCGCCAACTCAGCGAACATGTCAGCACCAAATAAGCTAACAGTGACATGTCATATTTTTTTAATAATTTAATAATTACATATCATAAATTAAATAAAAAAACCACAAAACCAAAAAAAAAACTAAAAAACCAAAAAAAATGTCGTCTCTCTTCCACCATTAAAAAATCCTCCCTCTTCTCAGAGATTCGAAGAAAAAAGAACTCTGCAGCAACCACCATATTCACCGACGTCAACCCAATCAACCGATTTTACTTCCACTTCTTGTACACCCTCCTATTTCTCCCTCTGTCTTGCTCCGCGGCGAACCAAATCACCAGAGGCCAGTCGCTGAGGGACGGCGACACTCTATTCTCCGTCGACGACAAGTTCGAATTGGGCTTTTTCAGCCCGGGGATTTCCACCTTTCAGTACCTGGGAATCTGGTACCACGACGCCGAGGATGCGCATTTGTTAATCTGGGTCGCGAATCGGGACGCAGATCTGGTCCAGCAACGCGACGGCGAGGGTTGAGTCGAACGGATCTGGCCTAGCATTGACGACGCTGACGAATTTCCAGTACGGGTTCAAGCTGACCCGAGAAGACGACTGGCGATTGTACTTCACGACTCACGTACAACCCCGTCAACGCCTCCGCGCTCTTGCGGTTCTGAATCGGGTGGGACGGGATCGAGGAGCTGCTCTGGTGGAACGAAAGTCGGAGAATCTGGGACGTGCTGCAGAGGCAACCGGAGAACGAGTGCGAGAATTACAATCGGGCGATGGTGATATTGCAGCAGGTAGCAGGTGGGAGCTTTAGATCTGCGATGGGGGATTGGGTTTTGCGATTGGGGGATTAGGTCTAGATGGAATTGGGATGAGGAAAAGGAAGGTTGTTGGTGGTCAAGCTTCACCGGCGGTAGAGGAAGATCGGAGCAGATGTGATAGAGGGAGACCCAGATCTGAGAGGACGAAGTTGCTGGAAAGTTGTGGAGCGGGGTGGTTCGTATCCATTTTATTTTGTTTTAATTTTTTCCTTGTTTTTTCATTTAATTATAAAATAAGGACATTTCCAACTCAGCAAACTCAAGCATAAAAGGTGTCACAGCACGTTAGTCTAGTCAGCAAAACCGTTAGTCCAGTCAGCATGTAAGTTTACGTCGTTATTGAATTGGACGGAAGTGGCTATAAGTGGTATTTCTTCAAATTTGGCTATTATTGACATAACCGTGAAAGTTTTGGCTATACAAGTGTATTTTGCCTTAATCCTACACCGCTTAATAACGCGATGGGTGAAGGGTTTTTTTTTAATCTAACCGTACTGGTTCACTCAAGGCTCATCCATGTCCAATTCCAATGGACAAGTCTTCGTTCCGCCCCTAGCTCTATAATCCACCTGTCTGCCCTAATCTCGAAAACCTCCACTGACAAAATATGTATGTCTATTCTTCTAGGTTTAAGATCAAATCCAAACGGTTCGGGGACAAAAAACCACTCACTGAAGGGATGGCAAACTTAACCCGACCCGACAAGTTTGACTTGGCCCAACCCAACTTGACCCACCCCGCTTATAGGTCAGGTTGGCAGTTGCTCTTGATACAAGATATAAGCATGAGACGTTCTTGTGCTACTTTCTAACAATTTATGTTGAGGAGCATGATCGTGAGACAGAGAGAATCTTTGTAATATGTCATCATTTATTTGTTGAGTATGAGAAGAAAGAACGAGAAAAGGAACAAGCATCGGATGTTAATGGGAGTTGTAGAGAAGCAAATGATACTTAAGCAACCTTTGCTCTGGAATTTCACTCGTGTGCCTCCAGCAAGAAAATAAAACGTCCAATGAGATCATAGTTGGATGCATCTTCAAAATACGATATTATTAGGAATATTCCTTATTTTTGTTTTATCTTGAAGGAAGCCCAATAAGAAAAATTATTTTATTCTGCACCAAAATCACTAGAGATGTTCTATATATTCCATCTTCAACGGTTGCTTCGGAGTCAACCTTTAGTACAAGTTGAAGGGTCATTCGTCCTTGACGTAGTAGACTTCACCCTAAGCTTGTAAAGGCTTAATGTGTCCACAAAGTTGGCTAAAGTCTTATGATAACTTTTCTTCTTTCTTGCAAATATATTGTTTATATTTTCTATCTGTAATTATGTTTTGCCATTGAGTGTTTGAGCTATGAGACTCAATTATGTTTTAATGACTAAATCATTATGATTCTGGTAGGGGGGTGGTGGGGGGGAACTTACTTAGATGTGAATAACTAAACCTTGTGCTTGTTTGTTTCTTAATATTAGTTTTTTTTACAAATGAATGATAACTAATAGTCTCATATACTTATTGTGAATAAAAACTGTGGATTATTTGGAGGACGGTGAATCTGATGTTCTAGACGATCATGCTCATATGACATATAATGTATAATCTCAATGTTTGGTACAGTAAACAAGTGATTTTGTTGAATGAATGGATGATCAATCTAATTTAATGTTTGGATTTTTTCCCCTTTACGAGGATTGACTTCGAGAAATGCTTAGTTGTTGAATGGTTGTTGGTCTGGAATAATTATGAGACTTGTTCTTGTTCACATACTTCGTGTTCTATTTTGCTTCACTTCGAAGGTTCCTAAAACTTATTTTTTGATTTGGAATTATGCTTGGATGGAATATTTTGGTGTTTTGTTAGACTTAAATTTTGTATATGCAATTCAGTTGTAATGGTTTAAGCATAGCATTTTGTTGTTTCATCAAAACATTTTTGGATTTGGAATTGTGTTGTGTTGTGGTTTCATCAGTACATTTTGTGGGTTTTGTGACTGATCAGTGAACAATCACTAAAGTAAGGTAGGCTTGTGGTCGGCCCGATCAGTGCATGATGGGGCATGAACCAACACAAGACGGGGCAATTGTGGGTTTTGGGGCGAGCATACGAATTAAGTTACAAAGAGTTGGGTTTAAATTGATTAGTACATGACTCATTTTGGCCCGTTGCCATCCTTACTAAAAAGTTAGCTATGTCCCTGATCCCAAGAAGAACTGGGGTGCAGAGCATGAACTATATATGGGCTCATCTGCAAGATTAGATGAAAAATCCATACAAATACAGACGGACATATGAGACCCCCAAACCTAAAATTGTTGGTCGAGTTTATAACTTATGACGAAGGGTGATTGGAGTTTGTGACTCATCAATCAAGTATGTACTAGATTGTAAGGTGGATAATGGAAAATCAATCTTGGTTGAAGGATAGAACCAACCTAATTTACATGTGTCACACTTACCCACTTGATAACAACATAGACATCATTGTTGTTTAATGCTTGGCTAGAGCACATATATGTGGCATGTGGGAACATTTTAGATTTATCCCTTACTTACTTTAGTGTAGGCAAAAATTACACCAGTCAGAACAATAAAGATGAGATGTTCGATCATGGATACTAGGCAACTATTTAGTTCACTAAGTCCACGAAGACACATCTATGAGGCGAGGCATGTGGGGAAAGCAATACACAAACCTAAAATTATTGGTCGAGTTTCTAACTTATGGCGAAGGGTGATTGGAGTTTGTGACTCATCAACCAATTATGTACTAGATTGTAAGGTGGATAATGGCAAATCAATCTTTGCTGAATGATAGAACCAACCTGATTTACATGTGTAACACTTACCCACTTGATAACAACATAGACATTATTGTTGCTTGATGCTTGGCTAGAGCACATGTATGTGGGAACATTTTAGATTTATCCCTTACTTACTTTGGTGTAGGCAAAAATTACACCAGTCAGAACAATAAAGATGAGATGTTCGATCATGGATATTGGAAGCACCAATTTAGTTCGCAAAGTCCACGAAGACACATCTATGAGGCGAGACATGTGGGGAAAGCGATACACAATTGGTTATACAATGTCTTTTCATATGAGATGAATGGTTGATGGCTCTCTAAATTGGTTGATGCTATCTTCTTTTTTTACACAACATGCACCATTATTTGCAAAACTGTTTAGCTGGTAATTTGTCTATTCATCGGCCTTGTGAGATACATGATAACTTTACAAGGATACTAAGATGTGCATATTTTCCAAAATATTCATGAGTATGCTATATGGATCAAGTGTTTTGTACAATCAAACCAAAAGTGATAGCTCCAACCAAAGGGTAGTCAATTGTAATATTAACGGCTTAGTTCATCACTTGCAAGAGATGACATTGTGAGAGAAGAAGATTACTCATGTGTTAAAGCTTTTGAGGTTCTTGAAGAAAATGAGTTTAAACGAGCAATTCTTGAAACAATTTTTTCTATTACACTCACTTATCCAACAAGCGTACAATACACATCTATATAGAGACAAGATCTACATTACAATGATTTGCCAAATACTGAAACACTTGCAACTTTTTATCATATTTTGCATCCATGATAAATATAATTTTGCAACAAATTATGTTCCATTCATCGGTAGTCCAAACTATAAGCTAGCATATTGTACAATACACACTATATCCAGACAAGATCTACATTACAACGATTTTCCAAATACTGAAATACTTGCAACCTTTTATCATATTTTGCATCCATGATAAAGATAATTTTGCAACAAATTATGTTCCATCCATCGGTAGTCCAAACTATAAGCTAGCATATTGTACAATACACATCTATATCGAGATAAGATCTACATTACAACGATTTGCCAAAATATTCAAATACTTGCAACTTTTTATCATATTTTGCAATGATGATAAGATAATTTTGCTACAAATTATATGTTCCATCCATCGGTACGCCAAACTATAAGCTAGCATATTGTAAAAGAAATACGAACCAACTAAAGAAAGACACCTACGACTCCAAAATCAGTACCAAGTAAAAAAATCTGCTAACATCTCTCGAGTCTCGTACAAAAGTTCTCTTTGATTCAGAAGTTGCCTTGCATTCTGCTTCTCAGTTAGAGAACTCTTCTCCACTTCCTCCTCTATCTCCCCCTCTCTCTCTTTCTTTTTCGTTCTACCTCTCCTTCGCGAAAATCCCCAACCGAATTGCGATCGCGGCACCAAAAACCCTAGTTCACGATCGTCAATTCGCATATTCTCTTCTTCATTCCCTCCCTCTTTATCTCCCGATTGCCCTGGCCTGATTGATTCTGTTCCTTGTCATCGGCGGACTCGCTGCTCATTGGGGATCCGATCATCGTGAATAGTGATTGTTGGAAACCTATCTTTCGACTCACAATCCGTCAACCGCTTCTTGATTGTGGAGAATTTGATTGATTCTCCGTCTCGGAGTGTTCTCTTGAGGTTTGTCGGGGGGCCGTGTGCAATGCTATTTGATTCACCGAGATGAAGCTCAAGCGGCGGAGGTCTTTGGAAGTGGTCAGTGTTCTGTTCTCTACCAGTGCTGTTTGTTTTGAGTTGTGAATTGTCTGAAGTTTGATGCTTTACGTGTTTTTCTTTCCCCCCTCTCCGTCTTTGTTACTTTGTCACGCTGCACGCAGTTGGGAGTTTTGGAAAGAACTTTCGGTCTGTTAATCCATTTGAGTTGTAGCAGCAATTGTTGTGGAGAGAGCTTGAGTCTGTTATTGTTTCTTTGATTAACGTTATGCAATTATAATCGGGGAAAAAAAGAAACTTCATTCTCATCATGAGGGTGTGTGATTGTTCTTTGTAAAGTTCACCTTTTGGTTTCCACTGCCACTGGACTACTATGTATCATTGAAAATATGCACCGAGAGGATAAACCCTTATTTGAACTGTTTAATTTTTCGTTGGGAGTGATGTCTGATGAGCTAGTGTCAGCTTGGTTCCTCGATTCTGTTGCAACTTTTTTGGTTCACCCTATGAGGTTGGTGAAACCAATCTGTGAAGTCCAAAGTTCTGTTCCCGATCATGTTCGGTTTTATCTTCTAATTTCTGATTCTCAATGCAATTACCGAACTTGGGGACGATGCACTGTCTTCCGTTTTTGGTGCTACTGATTTAGACATTTAGTCCTGGCTTCACTTCATTGGTTTCCTTTCCATTTGGGTAGCATATTATGGTAAGAAACTCCTAACCTTGTAAAGTGTGTGAGTTAATCTCGCGGGGTGATACGTAAAAGTGAGTGGAGGATGTTACCCAGATCATTGCTCTGATATCTTGTTTCAGCCAAATGTCCGACATTTTATGGTTTTAAGTGTGGAGCGAATTTTCAAATCTTTCTTTGCCTTGTTAATTTTATGTGGCTTCCCTATCCCGAGTGGCTGAGGAATGAAATTTCATGCGGTATGACCTGATGGCATTTCTGGTTCTCGAAATGAGTTGAACATAGAGTAGCTCTTCTTTTATGTCATTGCTAGACTACTAAATTTGAAGGATACTTAACCACTTCCTAACGTGAAGAAACCGCTTTGTGGTTTATAATGGTTGCAAAGCCGGCAATGGTATCAGTGATTTGTGATTTCTCGTAAGAAATAATAGGGTTTAATTTTCCGAAAGAAGGAGAGTTAGGAGATGAGGTGTGATGTTATCTGATAGAAGAGTTTCTGGCAAGGCTTGTTAGTTACAGACATATGGAAGCAACTAGTTTATAGAAACTCACATGTACTTGGATATCTTTTGATGGTCCGCCTAAAATTAAGTTGAACAGACAACAGCTGGAAGGACAATTTTTTTCTGTTTTGCGGGAGTTTTGGGCAAATGATTAGGCTTAATGCCCTCTTCTTTGCACGTTTTGTGGGATTTCAATACCATTTCCATTTCTTTCGCCGTTCTCTTGTGTAAGTATGGTCTTGATACTGCTGATGATGTGGTCTGATATATTTCCTTTGTTACTGTACAGCCTCCAAAAATTAAATCCTTCATCAATAATGTGACTGCTACTGATCTGGAGAATATCGAAGAGCCTCTTAAGGGCTTTTCTTGGGAGTTTGATAAGGTACCTTTTTGGTGTGAAGTTTTTTTCTTCTTCTTTTTCTGCAGGCTGTTCGTTTTACATGTATTTACAAATGGAACTTCTTGATGCAGGGTGATTTTCATCATTGGGTTGACCTTTTTAACCACTTTGATTCATTCTTCGATAAACACATAAAACAAAGGATAGAGTTGCAGCTTGATGACAGCCTTTTGGAATCTGATACCCGTTTTCCACGAGAAGCAGTTCTTCAAATCCTCCGCGTTATCAGAATAATCTTAGAGAATTGCACAAATAAGCACTTTTATAGTTCGTATGAGGTACTTCTTTCTCTGGCAATGTCTCATGCATTTGCTTATATCAGTTAGGGGTACCAAATTTCGTTTAATTTTCCTAATGGTGTTAAGTGCTCCATAACCATCTTCTTAACTCTTCCTCCCTTTCAATGGCATTGCAGCAGCATCTTTCTGCCCTTCTTGCTTCAACAGATGCAGATGTGGTTGAGGCTTGTCTGCAGACTCTCGCTGCTTTCCTGAAGAAAACCATTGGAAAGTACTCCATTCGGGATGCTTCCTTGAGTTCAAAGCTATTTTCTCTGGCACAAGGCTGGGGTGGAAAGGAGGAGGGTCTAGGTCTGATTGCATGTACTGTTGACAATGGGTGTGATCCTGTAGCATATGAGTTAGGCTGTTCCCTACATTTTGAGTTCTATGGAGCAAATGAGTCACCACGTGAGTCTCAGCAGACAGAAGAATCAATAGGAGGGTTACAAATCATTCATTTACCTAACATCAACACTCTCCCAGATACAGATTTAGAACTTTTGAACAAGTTAGTTGCAGAATATAAAGTGCCTCACCGTTTGAGATTTTCTCTATTGACGCGGTTACGGTATGCGAGGGCTTTTGGATCTTTGGCTTCTCGACAGCAATACTCATGCATTCGTCTATATGCCTTCATAGTTCTCGTTCAAGCAAGTAGTGATGCTGAAGATCTAGTTTCTTTTTTCAACTCTGAACCGGAGTTTGTAAATGAACTAGTTTCCTTGTTGAGCAATGAAGATGCAGTACCTGAGAAAATTCGAATTCTCTCTCTGCTAGCCTTAGTTGCCCTTTCTCAGGATCGCTCCCGGCAGCCTAGTGTCCTGGCAGCTGTCACATCTGGTGGTCACCGTGGCATTCTATCCAGCCTCATGCAGAAAGCTATTGATTCTGTTATGAATCAAACATCAAAATGGTCTGTTGTTTTTGCTGAGGCTTTATTGTCTCTGGTCACCGTGTTGGTCTCATCATCCTCTGGGTGCTCAGCCATGCGTGAAGCAGGTTTCATCCCTACCCTTCTACCTCTCCTCAAGGACACAGATCCACAGCATTTGCATTTAGTTGGGACTGCCGTGCATATTTTAGAGGCTTTCATGGATTACAGTAATCCAGCTGCTGCATTGTTCAGAGAGTTGGGTGGTTTAGATGATACGATTTCTCGGCTTAAGGCAGAAGTCTCGTATATAGAAAATGGTCAGGGGCAACATGGTGAAGATTCTGATTCCAGGGAAAGTAGTTTGCCAATTGTTACAGGTTGCGCTTCATCTGACCTGGAGAGTATGCAGCCCCTATACTCTGAGGCATTGGTTTCTTATCACCGGCGTGTGCTTATGAAAGTACTATTACGTGCTATATCACTGGGAACATATGCTCCAGGAAATACTTCTCGTATGTGTGGATCTGAAGAGAGTTTGCTGCCACAGTGCTTGAGCATCATATTTAGAAGAGCCAAGGATTTTGGCGGTGGGGTGTTTTCACTTGCAGCAACAGTTATGAGCGATCTTATTCATAAGGATCCTACCAGTTTCTCTATCCTAGATGCAGCTGGTCTTCCTTCTGCATTTCTGGATTCTATAATGGATGATGTTTTATGCTCTGCTGAAGCCATAATTTGCATACCCCAATGCTTGGATGCATTGTGCCTGAACAACAATGGCCTTCAGGCAGTAAAAGACCGCAATGCTTTGAGGTGCTTTGTCAAGATTTTTACATCCAGAACTTATGTGCGTGCCCTTGCGGGGGATACTCCTGTGTCCTTGTCTAGTGGATTAGATGAACTAATGCGTCATTCTTCTTCTTTGCGTGGACCTGGAGTGGATACGTTGATTGAGATTTTGAGTAACATTGCACGAATCGGTTCTGTGGTGGATGGTTCTTCCTCAGCTGGCTCTTTGCTAGATGCTTCTTCCTCAGCCTCTGAGGTTCCGAGCTCCTCTGTTGCTGTTCCCATGGAAACTGATTCTGAGGTGGCGAGTCCAGTTCTTCATGAAGGCAAGGAAGCTACAAATTCAGAGCAGCAGGCTGCTGATCAGTCCACTGATGCTTCGATAGTGAATATAGAGTCATTCCTACCTGATTGTGTTGCGAATGCAGCTCGTCTTCTTGAAACAATTCTTCAAAATGCTGATACATGTCGTATTTTTGTAGAGAAGAAGGGGATAGATGCAGTCCTTAGTTTATTTACCTTGCCTTTGCTGCCTGTTTCTTCATCTATTGGTCAGAGTATCTCCATTGCTTTCAAGAACTTTTCACCGCAACATTCTGCATCTTTGGCCAGGGCAGTATGCTCATTTTTGAGAGAACTTGTGAAGTCAACTAATGAACTCTTAGATTCAGTTAGAGGAACTGAGCTTGCTGTAGTTGACTCTGCGAAACAAACTAAGATTTTGAAGCACTTCTCAAGCCTTGAGGGTATATTGTCTCTGTCAAATTTCCTGTTGAAAGGTACTGCTAGTGTGGTCTCTGAACTGGGTACTGCAGATGCTGAAGTCTTGAAGGATCTTGGGAGGACATACTGGGAAGTTATTTGGCAAATTTCTGCGTACAATGATGCGAAAGTGGAAGAGAAGAGAATTGAAGAGCCTGAACTGGAGAGTGGAGATGTGTCGTCGTCTAATGCTGTTGGAAGAGAGGGCAATGATGATGCCAATATCCCAGCTGTCAGATATATGAACCCAGTTTCAATCAGGAGCAGTTCTCAGTCCCTCTGGGGTGGAGAACGCGAATTCCTATCAGTTCTTCGCTCTGGTGAAGGCTTACATCGTCGTAGTAGACATGGTTTGACACGAATACGGGGTGGAAGGAGTGGTCGCCACTTGGATGCTTTAACTACGGACTCTGAGGTTTCGTCCAATGTAACTGAGTTGACTTCTCAGGATGTTAAGAAGAAGAGCCCTGATGTTCTTGTTCCGGAGATTCTGGACAAGCTGGCTTCCACACTGCGGTCTTTCTTTACAGCCCTTGTCAAGGGATTCACTTCCCCAAACCGTCGTAGATCTGATGTGGGTTCGTTGAGTGCAGCTTCTAAGACTCTTGGTTCTTCATTGGCCACAATGTTTCTTGAGTCTCTCAAATTTTCAGGTTATTCTACTGCTGTATCAGTGAAGTGTAGATATCTTGGAAAGATTGTGGATGACATGGCAGCACTCACATGTGACACCAGGCGACGTACCTGTTATACTATCATGATAAATAACTTTTATGTCCATGGGACCTTTAAGGAGTTGCTCACTACATTTGCGGCCACCAGCGAATTGTTGTGGACATCTCCATACCCATACTCAACTTCAGGTCCTGATGAAGAGAGCGCAACTCAAGATAGTAAATTGTCCCACTGTGGCTGGCTGCTAGACACATTGCAGAGCTATTGTCGGGTACTGGAGTATTTCGTCAACTCCACTTTGCTTTTATCCTCAAGCTCTTCATCCCAGGCTCAATTACTTGTTCAACCAGGTGCAGTTGGCTTATCTATCGGGCTGTTTCCTGTTCCTCGGGATCCTGAAGCTTTTGTTCGTATGCTGCAATCTCAGGTTCTTGATGTCATACTTCCTGTTTGGAACCACCCTATGTTCCCGAACTGTGGCCCTGCGTTCTCTGCTTCCATCATTTCACTGATAACACATATATACTCGGGTGTTGGTGACATCAAGAGGAGTCGCAGTGGAGTTGCTGGAAGCAATAATCAAAGGTTTATACCTCCACCTCCTGATGAAGCTACTATAGCAACCATTGTTGAGATGGGATTCTCAAGGGCTAGAGCGGAGGAAGCGTTGAGGCGAGTGGAAGCTAATAGTGTTGAAATGGCTATGGAGTGGTTGTTTAGTCATGCTGATGATCCTGTGCAGGATGATGATGAACTGGCTCGTGCGCTTGCTTTATCACTTGGGAGTTCATCAGAGGGATCGAAAAATGACAATGTTGATAAGTCTGCCGATGTGCCGACAGAAGAAGGGTTAATAAAGATGCCTCCTGTCGATGATATCCTTGCTGCATCTGTTAAGTTATTCCAGAGTAATGAGGCAATGGTATTCTCATTTACAGATTTGTTAGTGACCCTCTGCAATAGGAACAAAGGAGAAGACCGTCCCAAGGTGGCATCTTGCCTTTGTGAGCAGTTGAAGCTGTGTCCTTTGGACTTTTCAAAAGATTCCAGTGCATTGCGTATCATATCTCATATCTTAGCATTGCTCCTTCATGAGGATGGAACCATCAGAGAAATCTCAGCACAGAATGGTCTTGTATCTACTATCATTGATATCTTGACAGATTTCAAGTCTAAAAGTTTGGGAGGGTGTGAAATTCTTGCCCCAAAAAGCATCGGAGCATTACTGCTTATCTTGGATTGCATGCTGCAATCAAAGCCTAGAATTCCTCATGGTACCATTGAAGGTAATCCGACAGGACCTACGCCAGACAGCCCACCGTCTAATAAAAAATTGGATTCAGATGTCTCTGAAAAAGAATCTGGTACTGTTTTTGAGAGAGTGTTGGGAAAATCTACTGGATACCTAACCATTGAAGAGAGTCAAAAGGTATTACTAATTGCTTGTGACCTGATGAAGCAGCATGTTCCAGCTGTCATCATGCAGGCTGTACTGCAGTTATGTGCACGTTTGACAAAAACTCATGCTCTGTCACTGCAATTTCTTGAAAATGGAGGGTTAGCTGCTATTTTCAGTCTACCAAGAAGTTGTTTCTTTCCTGGATATGACACTGTTGCATCTGCAATCGTCCGTCATCTTCTCGAAGATCCTCAAACTTTACAAACCGCCATGGAACTGGAAATCAGACAAGCTTTGAATGGTAGCCGCCATGGTGGCCGAATTTCACCAAGGTCATTTTTGACATCAATGGCTCCTGTTATTTCTAGAGATCCCGTGGTTTTCATGAAAGCCGCAGCTGCAGTTTGTCAGGTAGAGTCTTCTGGGGGACGGACCTTAGTGGTTTTGTCAAAGGAAAAAGACAGGGAAAAGGAGAAGTTGAAAGCATCAGGTGCTGAAGAATCTATACGGATATCTGAAACTAAGATTCATGACAGCCCAGTTAAATCTGTCAAAGGTCAGAAAAAGATTCCTTCCAGTCTGACTCAAGTTATTGATCAGCTTCTTGACATAGTATTGAAGTACCCTTTACCTAAAAGCCGTGATGAAGTTGGGAGTGAATCAATTTCAATGGAAGTTGATGAACCCACCAGCAAGGTGAAGGGAAAGGCCAAGGTTGACGAGACAAGGAAGGTGGAATCAGAAACTGAAAGATCTGCTGCATTGGCGAAGGTGACATTTGTCCTCAAGTTGTTGGGTGATATTCTTCTCATGTACATGCATGCAGTTGGAGTCATTCTGAGAAGGGACTCTGAATTTTGTCAACTACGGTCATCCAACCAAGCAGATAACCCTGATCATGGCGGAATAATCCACCATATCTTGCATCGGTTGCTTCCAGTGTCTACTGATAAATCTGCAGGACCCGATGAGTGGAGAGACAAGTTGTCAGAAAAAGCTTCATGGTTCCTGGTAGTTCTTTGTGGCCGATCTAGTGAGGGACGACGGAGAGTGATTAACGAACTTGTGAAAGCTATATCTTCCTTCTCAAACTTGGAAAGCAATTCAAACAGAAGCATTTTATTGCCGGACAAAGTTATTTTTGCATTTGCAGATTTGGTTTATTCTGTTTTGTCAAAGAATGCTTCCTCAAGCACCTTACCCGGGTCTGGATGCTCTCCGGATATAGCAAAAAGCATGATAGATGGTGGTATTGTGCACTGTCTAACTGGCATGCTTCAAGTGATTGACCTTGATCATCCTGATGCTCCCAAGGTTGTTAATCTTTTACTTAAATCTTTGGAAAGTCTAACAAGAGCTGCTAATTCCAACTATCAAATTCTTAAAGCTGAGGACCTGAACAAGAAGAAAACTCTAAGTTCAAACGAAAGGCTCGATGTGCAGACGACTAGGCCAGCTGCTGAGATTGAAGGGTGTAATCAGAATACCAGCGACGCCCGGGAAGTTCAAGGTGAGGAAAGGGTCGAAGAACACAACAACCAAGGAACTTCAGAAATAGAAGGTAATGGTAATCTACATGCTGATCAGTCTGGAGAGCAAGACATGAGAATCGAAGTGGAAGAGGCAACTAATCCTTCTCTGGAGATGGGGATGGATTTCATGAATGCAGAAATGGATGGAGATGGAGTTTTGCGCAATGGCGATCAAATAGAAATGACTTTTCATGTTGAGAACAGGGCAGATGATGATATGGGTGATGAGGATGATGACATGGCCGATGAAGGTGAGGATGACGATGATGATGATGCGGAGGACGAGGATGAAGACATTGCTGAAGATGGTGGTGGAATGATGTCTCTGGCTGACACGGATGTGGAAGACCATGATGAGACTGGCTTGGGTGATGATTACAATGATGAGATGATTGATGAAGAGGATGATGATTTTCATGAGAACCGTGTCATAGAGGTGAGGTGGAGGGAAGCCCTTGATGGTTTAGATCGTTTGCAGGTGCTTGGTCAACCTGGTGGTGGTGGAAGTGGTCTGATTGATGTTGCAGCTGAACCTTTTGACGGAGTGAACGTAGATGATCTTTTTGGCCTCCGTAGGCCTTTAGGCTTCGAACGGCGGCGGCAGAGTGGTAGGTCTTCTTTTGAACGATCAGTCTCTCAAGTCAATGGATTTCAACATCCTTTGCTTTTGAGACCATCCCAATCTGGAGATCTTGTGTCAATTTGGTCATCAGGGGGCCATTTATCCAGAGATTTAGAAGCTCTCTCAGCTGGCAGTTTTGATGTTACTCACTTTTATATGTTTGATGCACCAGTACTTCCATATGATCATGTACCCAGCAATCTCTTTGGTGATCGGCTGGGCAGTGCAGCTCCTCCACCTTTGACTGATTATTCTGTTGGAATAGACTCTTCACACCTACAAGGCCGAAGAGGGCCAGGTAATGGACGTTGGACTGATGATGGTCAGCCACAAGCAGGTGCTCAAGCTGCTGTAATTGCACAAGCAGTGGAGGAACAATTCCTGTCCCAGTTGCACAGCATTGCCCCAGCAGGTAGCTCTGCCGAAAGAGAGTCTCAGAGTCTTGAGATGCAGGAGAATCAGCCCCCTACAGAGCCTCGCTCTAATGATGGACAAATAGTGATGGAAGGTAACAATCCCAGAATTCAGCAATCTGAAGTTCATCATCAAGAAACCTTAAATGGAGTGACTGATCATCAGTCTAATCAAGAAGCAGTTGAAAGCATTCATCCCCAAGAGCAAGTCACTCAGCATACTTCTGTTGAAGATGCACGTGAGCTTCTACTGGTGCAGGAAGGTATGGTGGATCAATCATCTTCTCTGAGCAGTGCACCTAATGGAGATGAGCAAATGGAGATAGGGGAAGGTGATAACATTACAGGAAATCAAGTAGGGGCAGTACCAGAGCTTGTGTACTCATTAGCACAACATTTTCCTTCTCTTCAACATGAAGGAGGTCAAGACTCACCGTCTCATCTCGAAACTCCTGCTCGTGTTCCGAGTGTGGATTCTGATGGTTTGTCTAGGGCAGATGGCCAGTCTCATGACCAGGTTCTTTCAGGTCCTATTTCTGGGAGATCAGATGCGGATAATAATTGTGATGATGTTGATATGAATGGTGTTGATGCTGGTGGAAGTCTATCTGAGCAATCTCCCCCTGTCGCGGGACAAGTAACAGCTGTTGCTCCAGATGCTAATCAAACGGATCAGAATAGTGTAAATGGCGAGGGTTCTGCTGCAAATGCTATTGACCCGACCTTCTTGGACGCACTGCCAGAAGATTTGCGGGCAGAAGTTCTTGCTTCTCAGCAAGCTCAATCTGTGCAGCCTCCAGCTTATGCACCACCTTCAGTTGATGATATTGATCCCGAGTTTTTGGCGGCTCTTCCTCCAGATATTCAGGCAGAAGTTCTTGCACAACAAAGAGCACAAAGGATTGCACAACAAGCTGAAGGGCAGCCGGTGGACATGGATAACGCTTCAATAATTGCTACTTTTCCCGCCGAATTACGTGAAGAGGTATCCTATCCAGAAAGCTTTTCCCGCCTTTTCCCCACTGTACGTTTACAGATTCTTTTTTCTGCTCCAGGTACTTTTGACCTCTTCAGAAGCAGTATTATCAGCACTGCCTTCTCCGTTGCTTGCTGAAGCCCAAATGCTAAGAGACAGGGCAATGAGTCACTATCAGGCAAGGAGCCTGTTTGGTAGCAGCCACAGGCTTAGTGGTCGAAGAAATGGCTTAGGGTTCGACAGGCAGACTGTGATGGATAGAGGTGTTGGAGTTTCAATAGGTCGGAGAGCAACATCTGCAGTTGCAGATGGCATGAGAGTGAAGGAAATTGAGGGCGAGCCTTTGCTGGATGCAAATGCGCTGAGGGCTTTGATCCGCCTCTTAAGATTGGCACAGGTCTGTCGTTACCTGTAAACTGTCTGGAAAATCTAACTGCTAGGGCATTTGAAATGTTTGATTTGCATTTTGCCTGTTGTAATATTCTGTTGCATTCATGGGAGGGTGGTGCACTAGGGAATGCACATCATAGGTTGTCTGAAAGAATCAGTTTAACTGCACGAGGATATCTGTTTCTATGGTTTTTATGTTTCAAGGACTTTCAATTCAGTTTAACCTGTCCACCCTTGTGTTGAAGCCCCTGTGTCTATATGTCTCAGTGCCTACTTCTGTTAATGGAAAGCATTTTCCTATTTCTGTAGAATGGGAGGCATATTGTATCTATTACCTTTAACAATCATATTTGCTGGTGATGGAATTTTTGCTTGCTTGTTATTCTAACTATATGCTATTTATATATATGCATCCTGAAGTTACTATTATCTCCAAACTTGATGATTTTTGTTCTTATGTTGGTTAGCCCCTGGGGAAAGGACTTCTACAGAGACTATTGTTAAACCTTTGTGCACATAGTTCTACAAGGGCAACTCTAGTTCGCCTTTTGGTTGACATGATTAAACCTGAAGCATATGGATCACTCAGTGGATTAGCAATGCTGAACTCGCAGAGGCTTTATGGCTGCCATTCAAATGTGGTTTATGGCCGATCACAGTTGTTGGATGGTATTTTACTATATTTCTCGTTTAGGTTCTAATAATAGTAATGATGAATTTTTGTCGCCATACAATCTGTTGGTTTGATTTTGTTTTTCGACAGGTTTGCCTCCCTTGGTGTTGTGTCGGATTCTTGAGATTTTGACATATTTGGCAACAAACCACTCATCGATTGCCAATATGTTATTTCACTTGGACCCTTCTGTCTTGCCGGAGGAGTATCTTACAAATGGTTTGCAATATAAGACGGACAAAGGTAAAGGGAAACTTGAGGATGGCAGTGCGTTGTGCAATCCTTGTGGAGATACAAATGATGTTCCGTTGGTTCTGTTCTTAAAGCTATTAGATCGACCACTGTTTTTCCGCAGTGCTGCACACCTTGAGCAGGTATGAGTGATCACTTGTTGACTTTATGAATTGTCTCTTTCCGTGTGTTTGTGTTGGAGAAAGAATGCATGAATTTTTTTTTGGCTTAAATGCTAAAACAAACTCTTTTCCGATCAACTTGGTAAAAAAATATTCACTCTAAATCCCACTAATTATTTAAATCTAAAAGCCACCTCACTAATAAAATTTCAAATTCCCAACTTTGCCCTCTCGAAATGATTTTTTTTTTTACACAGGTTATGGGCTTACTTCAAGTGGTGGTTTACACAGCGGTATCAAATATAGAATCCTGTAAGCTACCTAGTGGGGAAGTCAGTGGTGATGCTCAGACAGATCATCAGGCGGAACCAGAATCTACTCAGGGAGATAAAGCGGTCCCTGCTGCCGAGTTATCGAATTCCAAAAGAAATAAGAGCACTGATACAGTCGGTGTTCTCATGCGGTTGCCTAGATCTGATCTGCGGAATATGAGTAACCTTCTTGGTCGCGAGGGGTGGGTTTCTTTCTTACTGGCTAGTTTTCTGTTTTTGAATGATTCTATAATGTAATCTGTAACATATTCCCTGTTATCTACTCCAGGCTGTCAGATAAGGTGTACATGCTTTCGGGAGAAGTACTGAAGAAGCTGGCGTCGGTTGCTTACCCTCTTCGCAAGTTCTTTACCTCAGAGCTTTCAGATTTAGCACATGGTCTGAGTAGTTCAGCTGTTAGTGAGCTTGTTACTCTGAGGAAGACTCACATGCTAGGTCTTAGTTCTGGGTCTATGGCTGGAGCAGCAATATTACGTGTCCTCCAGGTGCTTAGCTCACTCACCTCACCTAGTGCTCCAGCAGCTGAGAGTGTTGGTGGGGAGCAGGAGGAGCATGCATCTATGTGGAACTTAAACATTGCACTCGGGCCATTATGGCATGAATTGAGTGAATGTATCAGTGTGACAGAAATGCACTTAGGCCAGGGCACATTGAACCAGACTCTTTCTAGCAGTGCCACTTTTGGGGATCATGTACAGGGGAGTGTCTCTACATCGTCTCCTCTTCCTCCTGGAACCCAGAGACTCCTGCCTTTCATAGAAGCATTCCTTGTTTTGTGTGAAAAGCTTCAAGCAGAAATTAATTCTTCTTCTGTGCAGCAAGATCATCATGCTGATGACACAACAGCAGGTGAAGTCAAAGAGTCAGGGGCAGGGGATGCACATAGAAAGCTCGATGGTTCAGTTACATTTGCTCGGTTTGCTGAGAAGCATCGTAGACTTCTAAATGCATTTATTAGACAGAATCCTGGGTTACTGGAGAAGTCACTTTCTATGATGCTGAAGGCACCAAGATTAATAGATTTTGACAACAAAAAGTCGTATTTTCGGTCAAGGATACGACAACAACATGAGCAACACCTGTCTGGTCCACTGCGGATCAGTGTCCGAAGGGCATATGTGTTGGAGGATTCTTACAATCAGCTGAGGATGCGGCCAACTCAGGATCTCAGGGGACGATTGAATGTGCAGTTCCAAGGGGAAGAGGGCATTGATGCCGGAGGTCTGACTAGAGAATGGTATCAAATATTGTCGAGAGTTATTTTTGATAAGGGGGCATTGCTTTTCACCACTGTGGGAAACAATGTCACATTCCAGCCAAATCCAAATTCTGTGTATCAAACTGAGCATCTTTCCTATTTCAGATTCGTTGGCCGTGTGGTAATTAATCCCTTAAAAACTTTTAATGCTCAAATTTTACTATATGGCACTGGCTTGCTGAGAAGTGTACATCTACTGTTTGATACAGGTTGCAAAAGCATTGTTTGATGGCCAGCTCTTGGATGTATATTTCACCCGGTCTTTCTATAAGCACATTCTAGGTGTAAAGGTGACTTACCATGATATAGAGGCTGTGGATCCTGATTATTACAAGAATCTAAAGTGGATGCTAGAGGTATGTGGAGTGATTTTTGCTCCATTTTCCTTTTTCTATGAAACTTTTGAAAGTTAAGTTTCATTCAGGTAGCAACTTGGCATGACAAATTTCCCCACTTGTCTCTCTCAGAATGATGTAAGTGATATACCGGACTTGACATTCAGCATGGATCCTGATGAGGAGAAACACATCCTTTATGAGAAAAACGAGGTTGGCATAGTATGCGGAAACATATTGAAATATTCCTTCCTTGGCCCTGAGTGCCGGCGACATTTCCCGTCATATTGTGGAATCCCTCTTCCCCCTTAGCCTTGGCGATATACTAAGTTCTTGTTGTTGTTTTTTTCTTTCTTTTGTATTGGAAGGTTACTGATTACGAGCTTAAACCTGGAGGGAGGAATATAAGAGTAACCGAAGAGACGAAGCATGAGTACGTGGACCTTGTTGCGGACCATATATTGACAAATGCCATCCGGCCTCAGATAAACTCCTTCCTGGATGGTTTCAATGAACTCATTCCTCGGGAATTGATCTCAATTTTTAATGACAAGGAGCTTGAGCTACTGATCAGTGGACTTCCTGAAATTGAATGTGAGTCTGACTTTCTTTCTCTATGCGTATACTCTGACTCTGAGCTCCACACGACTGCACATCTTGTTGTTTGCCTTTTTTTTCTATGATAAACTTAGTAAAGCTATTCTGTTGCAGTGGAAGATCTGAAGGTCAATACAGAGTATACTGGATATAGTGGTGGTTCCAGTGTTGTTCAGTGGTTCTGGGAAGTAGTTCAAGCTTTCAGCAAAGAAGACATGGCTAGACTGCTACAATTCGTCACGGGAACATCAAAGGTAATGTTCGTGAATCTGCAGGTGATGGTTTTCCCCTTTGAAATCTCGAAGCTAGTGATTTGGATAACTAAAATGGCCAAGAATGGGTTTTCTCCCCAGGTTCCACTGGAAGGTTTCAAGGCGTTGCAGGGCATCTCTGGTCCTCAAAGGTTCCAGATACACAAAGCATATGGCGCTCCTGAACGCTTGCCTTCGGCTCACACATGGTTCGTATACAATATGCCATTGCTTCTTGATCTGTCTGATCCCCCATTTTTTTGGCACCCAAGTCTTAACATATTTTCGGGATTCTCCAGTTTCAATCAACTAGATCTTCCGGAGTATACATCAAAAGAACAGCTTCGAGAGCGGTTGCTGCTCGCCATTCACGAGGCCAATGAAGGTTTTGGCTTTGGTTAGCCATGCCAGGGGGTAGGTGGGGTTGGCTTCAAACACCACCAATGATCCAATTTAGGCGGCCAGCCTTCAGCATTTTGTGATGTACATGTTAGTTCTTCCCGCGTTCTTTGTGTACTCTGACCCCTTTGTGGTGCGTTAAAAGACTGAAATGTTACTGCTGAGTGCTGACGAATTGGGTATTATGTGGTGCAGATGGATGATGATGGGGATGATTCATTTGGGTCTGGATTAATTAGGAGTTTAGGGAGTTAGCTAGCCGTATAAAAAGGCGGTCGCCGGTGCAGCGGTGGCTGCTGGGTCGATGCTGGTGAATGCGCTTTGAGGAAGAAACAGGGGATTATGTCTTTCAAGTTACTTTGGCCATTTGCTGTTACAAAGGGGATGGAAAGAAATGTAAAAATGGTTTTGTTGGTTTTGGAAGGGGAATAATGTGAGGGCGTTTCTTCCACCAAGGCCAAAGCCAGTTTATGTAGATAACTATTTGGATCTACCTTTTTGGTTGTTTATATCAGTTATTATCATTAAACATTGTTAGCTTCTGTTGGTTCTATTTCTCTTTGGGGTCATTTGGATGCAGATTTTGGGTGTGGGATTTGGGCAATCCTACTTAGTGTGGGATTTTAATTAAAATCAATCACTCGTTTGGAAAGCAATTATATGATAAGAGATTTTAAATATTAGAGATTTCAGAAACCCACAATTGTGGGATTATGAAATAGCTGATGGTGATCAGCTATTTTAAAATCCCACACATATTCCACAAATTAAAAACCTGGGTTTTTAAACCAGTGATTTGAGCCAAAATCCCACAAATTAAAAACCTGGATCCAAATGACCCCTCTATTGGAACGAGTTAGGCACACTAACTGTGAAAGAAAGCTAAAAAGATTGACAAGGGTATGAAATCGAAGCACGAAATTTGGAAATTGGGTACAATGTGGCTTCTTCATCAAATCCTTGCACTTGCATCCGGCGCCATATAATATGGCTTCTTGACAAAACGATAGCTTGTATTAAAAAAGAAACAATAGTTACATCATATTTGTCTCTCTAGAGAGCCAGACACAAAATTGAACTCCGTACATACTGAGAATAGGAAGTCTAATTTGGGAGATGAGCAAATTCTTCTCACATTCTTGTCCTCCCAACTTGCTCATTTCAACTGTAAGGATGAGTGTTTAGGCATATGGTCCGAATGAAAGGAACAAATCACATATGTCGTTTTCCTACTCAAAGATCAGTGTCTGCAACTTCAAAATCTCGATGATTAGATAATCACTCTTAAGACTCCATCATATCTCAAAAGGCCCCTGCACTCAGCCGCCTGCCTCCTCCCTAGCCGCCTTCACCTTCGTCCAAAATCTCAATCTCCATTTGCTTCACTCTGCTGCCACTCCTCCGCCTTCTCAGCCGCAATTACAGTTCTTCGAGCCCTGGTAATTTTCCGATTGGCATGGCTGCAACAAAACTGGAACTCAAAAACTCGCCATACGAGCTCTCCGACGATGCCTTGTCCCCGTTTAACTTCTTTCGCGGCCCAAACCAAAAGAGTCTTTCGAGTTCCCGGCAAAGTTTCGAACTTCAGACTGTTTTGCCATACGGGATTCTCCGACTCTGCAAAACGAAGTTCCAAATATGATGGCAGGAAGCAGCCGAATTTTTCATGCTCATCAACACCAGGTAGAATCTCCTTGCTGTGTAAATGTCTCTTCAGCATTGTGGAATTGCCGCTTTTAGGTTCTTTTTCCCCCTGTCCTTCTTTAAGGCGATTCCTAGCTTTGTAAAGGTTGGATTTTTATATAATTTTGGTTGGTTCTCCAGGTGTGGACATGGAGAAGAGCGTTTACCAGTTGCTCACAATAGACCGTTGGCAGTCCCTGAATCACATGGAATACAAACTAGCTTCACTCAGGCCAGTTCATGGGAGGTTAGCTTTAAAATTTCTCAACTGGGTTTCAAAGCAGCCAGGTTTGGAGCTCCATCACCTCACTCACTTGTTCTCCATCACGGTTCACATTCTTGTTCGAGCTCGAATGTATGAACCTGCCAAATTGATCTTGACGCATCTGTCCCGTATGAGTACTTGTTCAACTTCGGTTTTTAGTGCAATAATGAATACCTACCCTGTTTGCAAGTCTAATCCTTCAGTTTTTGACCTTCTAATGAAGGTCTACTTGAAGGAAGGGAATGTTGACGGTGCTTTGGAGACTTTTTACTTGATGGGTTATCGAGGCTTTGACCCTTCTGTTCGTACCTGTAATATGGTGCTTAGTTCCATGGCGAAAGACTGTAGAGTTGAGTCAGTGTGGTTGTTTTTTGAACGGATGCTTGCAAGGAAGATTTGTCCTGATGTTTCCACGTTTAATATATTGCTTCATTTGTTGGGGGAACAAGGAAAGCTTAAGAAAGCTAGGCACCTTTTGAGGAAAATGGAAGAGAGTGGTTATGTTCCAAATGTAGTTACTTATAACACTATGCTCAACTGGTGTTGCAAGAAAGGGAGGTACAAAGTTGCTATTGAATTGATAGATCAAATGGCATCGAAAGGTATTGCAGCGGACGTGTTCACATATAACATGCTTATCGATGATTTGTGTAGAAACAATAAGAGTTCTAAAGGTTACTTGCTGTTGAGAAACATGAGGAGTAGGAAGATTTCTCCCAGTGAAGTTACTTATAACACTCTGATTAACGGGTTTGTGAAAGAAGGGAAGATTGGTATCGCCAATCGAATTTTCGATGAGATGGCAATGCTTAGTCTTTCTCCAAATGCTCGTTCGTACAATTGTTTGATTGAGGGCCACTGTGACCAGGGTGATTTTGAAGAAGCTTTCAAACTTCTGAAATTGATGGAAGCAGCAGGGTTGAGACCAAATGAAGTTAGCTATGGGATTCTCTTAAAGGGTTTGTGCATAAATAACAAATTGCACTTGGCCAGAAACCTTCTTGAGAACATGAGGATGAAGAATACAGCTGGTTGTATAGCATACACAACATTGATCCATGGGTTATGCCAAAATGGGTTGCTTGATGAAGCTGTGCAGTTGCTTAATAATATGGCCTCGGACGGTGCAAGTCCTGATGTCATTACATTTTCTGCACTCATAAATGGATTCTGCAGAGTTGGGAAGGTAAAAGCTGCCAAGGAAGTAGTATGTCAAATGTACAAAGCTGGACTCCAACCAAACAGTATAATATATGGTACTTTAATCTACAATCACTGCAGGGCAGGAAATATTACTGAAGCATTTAAGTTATATGCAGCAATGAATTATGATGGCCATGATGCCAGCTCTTTCATCTGTAATACATTAGTATCTTCTCTTTCCAAAGGTGGAATGATACAAGAAGCAAAGGAGTTTATGCATCACATGTCAAGAATTGATGTTGTTCCAAATTCCATTACTTTTGACTCTATTATCAACGGGTTTGCTAGATTAAGTGATCCTTTGGCAGCCTTCTTGGTATTTGATGAAATGATTCATTCTGGTCACCAGCCCTCTTGTGTTACATACAGTAGCCTGCTTAAGGGACTGTGCAAGGCTGGAAACTTAGGAGAGGCCAGGAAATTATTGGAGAAACTGTATCACATCCCATTTGCTGTCGATACTATCACTTGTAACACTATACTTGCTGAGACCTGCAGAGTAGGAGACATGTCAGGTGCATTGACCCTCTTAAATGAAATGCTGCAGCACAATGTTCTACCTGATGAGTATGCGTTCACCACGATTCTTACTGGGTTGAGTAGGAAAGGTAAAATGGTTGCTGCTCTTGTTTTCTATGGGAAGATGTTAGAAAAGGGATTCATGTCATCTACTCAAGTCATCTATACCTGTCTGATCGATGGACTGTTCAAGGTTGGTCAATCAAAGGCAGCTTTGTATTTGTGTGAGGAGATGGAAATGAAAGTCCGAAACATTGATATCGTTGCAATAAATGCAGTTATAAATGGATGCTCAAGGATGGGTAAAACAGCACAAGTGGATGATCTCTTTACTGGGTTATTATTGAGCAGTAGTTTTTCCCCTACCTTGGTTACTTATAACATTGTGCTGCATGGTTATTCAAAACAAAAGGATATATCCAGATGCTCAGATGTTTACAAAATCATGAAGAGGAGAGGTGTTTTGCCTGACAAATTAACCTGTCACTCTCTTCTTCTAGGTCTTTGTACGGCTGGCATGTTGGATGTTGGTGTTAAAATGCTGAAAAAGATGATGGTAGAAAATAGTGATTTGGTTGACTGGCACACATTTAGCATGATTATATCTTCATGCTGTGAAATGGGTAGAATGGCAAAGGCTTTTGATCTGTTGGATACAATGCATTTGGCTGGATTTTCTCCTGATGTCAACACCGTTAATGCCATTATTTCTGGGCTGACCAGAACTGATGCTCTTCAGGAATCTCGTCTACTTTTGCATGATGTATTAGAGAATGGTATCATTCCAAAATGCAGACAATATAGTACCCTAATCAACCAAATGTGCAGAATGGGGAATATTCAGGGAGCGTTCAGGGTGAAAGATGAAATGGAAGAATTTGGGGTTAGTTCCCTGGATGTTGCTGAGAGTGCTATGGTAAGAGGGCTGGCAAAGTCTGGGAAGGTTGAAGAAGCAGTACTGCTTCTTGATTACATGCTTCGGAGGCGACTTGTTCCAACAATGGCCACTTTCACAACCCTGATGCACGAGCTCTTCAAGAAAGGCAATGTTGCAGAGGCCATCAAACTGAGGAGCAAAATGGAGCACTCTGGTGTGAGACTTGATGTGGTAGTTTATAATGTTTTGGTGTCAGGCCTTTGTGGGGATGGCGACGTTGCAGGTGCATTTAAGCTATTTGAAGAGATGAAACAAAGGAAGCTGTTGCCTAATATGACCACCTATGACATTCTCATTAAGGCCATGATGACCAGTGAAGAGATTGATCCTATCAGCTGTGAGTTGCTTTTGAGGGATTTACAGGAGAGAGGGGTAGTATGTGGGGATTGGAGTGGAACGGAGATGCAAAAGGGGCTGATTATAGCCATGAAAAAGTTAAAGTCATTGAGACACCAAAGGAGGAAAATGTGATGCCATTTACCCGTCTAGCACTTATCAGCATGGCAAATTTGGTGTTTGTTATAGGTTGCAAAGGCGTTGCTTGATGGGGAACTCATGGATATATAATGGCTACCTACAATAACATAGAGGTTCCTAGTCCTGATTATGAAAAACTTTTTGAAGTGGAATGCTAGAGGTCTGGGAAACTTTTTGCTGCCTTGCTCTTCAAATTGTGGTTCAAGAATTTTGGACGGGGTGAAGTTCATAAAGTGATATGCATATTTCCCCACTTTCTTTCAGAAGTACGAACACATCCATTGTTAGAGAAACAGTAGGTATATATTCTCCATATGTTGAATGATTATTATTAGCAGAGTCGGTTGGGTAATTGAAAATTATGCCAAGCTGAATGGTGCTGATCTATTCATCATGAAGAATTCATTTTTATCTATTTCGTCTGTTAGCAATTATGTCCTGACATTAGGTGGTTCTGGGAATTGTGTGGATTCGCATATTGTTCATACTAGCAGGACGTTTTCTAATTGTTTTGCCCATTTGGTTCATACTATTGAAAAGCTGACCATGTGTCGTCATATAGGGACTTGCTGAAGAACCTGAAACGCCATAAAGAGGACGTTCTTAAAGGCCAAGCGGTGAAGAACCAGAAGGTGAATTCAATTGCTTTCTGTTCTATTTTCATTCTAAAAACTATCTAGTATGCTGCCAGATGCTCATATCCATTTTCCTTTCTGGAACAGGGGTCTTGAACTGAGGATGTTACTTCAGAAAGCATTCCCTTGCTCAAATAGGCATCCACTGGTATGTTCTATTTACCTTCATCATCACCCATTTGCACATCGAAGTGTAATGGTAATGCAAGGAAATATCTGCAGGACCCTGTTTGGTCTACATTTTCCAATTCAGAGGAAGAAATGAGGGTAGCTTATGATGACCTCGTTACCTCATCCAAAAAGACTTTAAATCCCTAGATGGACTGCAAGAAGTCTTTCTATAATGAAAATTGTGTTTTCCCTTTGTTGCAATTGCAGGTTTATTCAGATGACTCCAAGTCCTTGATTGATGAAGATGAGGATTGAGGAAGAATGGTCTAAAATTTCACAAATGCATACAAGGTATAGCAGTAGTTTTCAGGTCGTCCATGGTCCTAAGTGCTTAAGCTTCTGTAGTCTGGGGGGTACTTGTGAACAACCTTTCTCTTACTTGGTTTTCGGTGGTTGAGTTCTAATTCTGGATATGGATGGACTTCCGATTTCCTTTGATTTATTCAGACTTCTGCGTGCATCGGAGTTGCATTCTGTTTTATGTTAATTTGAGCATGAAAATGATGGTTCTGTGAGATCATTCATCCATATAAAAGAAACTTATATCCTTCTGTCTTGTAGGATAGCTTCATTTAGAAATAAATCCATAGACAAGTGGCAGAGGAAGACAGAAGTTACAACTGGGGTAGCAGCTATTAGAAACAAGTTGCAAGCTTTCAACCACGTTGGAATTTGTTATCAGTGATTACAAGTGTGCGTTTTTTTTTTGTGCGGTTTGTAGTGGAGCTCACTGGCTTTTCTTTTCCGATCGCAGAATATCAGTGATCAAGTTTCTGCATATACGAGGGATCCAAGCAGAATGATTTAAAAAATGCAGTTGAGCTGGTCACTTGTAAAGTCTTCTGGCCTGTAAGTTGTTCTACAGCATCTTGTTCCTTCTTTTTCTGTTTATGACGAGTATACTGGTCAATTACTTTGTTTACGCATGGGCAGGCTCCAGGGCAGATGAGCAGTACTCATGACGAAGCAATTATTATCATTTTATTCAGCATGATTGTTAACAGAATGAAAAGAGGTGTTCATTCATCATCTATACTGTCGAGTTAACTTAATCAATGTTTTTAGGAGACACATCGTGATGGTGAGCAAGATCCAGAGGCAAGCAGTACCCAATGCACGAATAACAAGATACATTCCGGTTTCGTAGGTACAATGTGCACGAAAAGATCATCAATTTCATGGCTAAACAGCCGCGGAGGATATCCCAGATATGTCCCCTAAACTGTTTGCGAATTTGCTTGGTCTCAAGACCCAGAACCGTTGAATTGTAGCAGGTATCTACTGTGTACACCAAGCTATACATGGATGCAATCGATTCGAAAGTTTTTGTGGCCATTGGCCCTTCCCGGGTGTGAGATGCTGACAGACAGGGTATGTTTTTTTCCTTTCTCACTTCTATTAGGTTCAAAGTCCGACGCTACAACGCCACAGCTGCTCTAACCAAACCTGTGTTTGGCTTCTATGGCATGTTAGATTGTTAGTGACAAAACCCTCCATCTGGGGAGAGAAAAAATCTATCACAAGAACGGATCTCTTTGGTGGTGGTACTCTTGTGCTCATTTCTTCCCTCTGTCTGTCGAGGACTGGAAAAATGAACGAAAGATGTAATAAGGCGACATATCAGAGTATTAAAAAACCACGGTAGCTAAGTTAATGCAGTGGCAGATCCCTGCCTGCCATCCTTGTTCATCTTTGCTGGATTCTGTCTCTCCCCTGACAGCAACAAACAATGCCATCTCACCCAATAATATACAACCACTACACTCCCATGAACGAATTGAAGGATAACACCCATCAACAGATTCTCTGTCTTGCTCCTGGTTTTGGTTCCCCTAGTTACTAATGGCTTTGTGTTTCAGCAAATTGTGTGCTTGCATTCATTTTATTGGATTGGAGATGGGGGGAAAACCCTTGGAATTGCAGAAATCAGGGTGGCAGACAATAGTACATCCGTGAATCAAAAGATCAAGCTCGTGAAAGCTAAGCGCGATTTTGATCGTAATTGATAATTAGATGTGGGACATCTTGTTTACAAAATTATCACTGCATTCGTTTAATACGATCGTACGACTAAAAGTCTTGTAATACCTCTTTACAAATTGTAATTACGGTAAGTGAATATTTTGTTTGTGAATGTGATTGTTGTTTCATGCATCATCCCACAAATCAGAATAATGTGGAAAAAGAAAAAAGAGAAATTTTTATTTTTTTTTATTTATCGAAAACGCCAAAAAGGGGAGTGACCCTACAAAAGCAAAAGTGCCAGCAAGGCAGTGCCTCCGTGTACACCAACTAATTCTCTCTCTTCTCAAAAAAGAGGATCACACACCGTTTGCCAGCTCACTCCTCCGTCCCGTTTTCCTGCCACCACGTCATCGCTGACGCCGACGACGGACGGCGACCTGACTGACCTTTCCCATCTCTCCGTTACCGTCGAATATTTGCGTTTTGAAGAGATGCCGAAACACGGCAAGGCCCAATTGCAATACCCGGCCCAATTCTCCTTCTCTCTCTCTCTCTCTCTCTCTCAAGAGGAAACTCTTTTCGCTTCCTCCATTTTCTCTCCGTCTTCCTTTCTTTTCTTTTCTTCTCCTTTTCCTCTCTCTGTCTCTCTCTCATAAGTCTCCTCTTCCAGCTGCTTGCTCAAAGGTTTCTCGCACTAGAATTCATGTCGGTATGTTAGCTCCCTCTCCTTCTCTTTCTCTGTCTTCGTTTTCCCCCCTTCTTCTGGCTGTAATACTACCCTACGAGCGCCGTAAAGTTCGTTACTTTTTTTTTTAACCCTTTTGAGCTTTCTCCTTCATAGCTTGCTTACGATTTCTGATTGATTCGAACTAGATTTTTATTTTTACGCTATTTTGGCATCTGCTGCTGCTGTGCTATGAAAGGGTTTCTATTGGGTTTTGCTATTTAGCTGCTGAATAATTATGTGGATTCGATCCTCGGGGGTCGCTTTTCCTTTGTTCTTCGGTTCTGGGTGCTGTGCTGCTGATCAGTTTTGTTTACTTGAATTTTGGGAATCTTCGTATTTTCCCCTTTGTTTCGATCTTTTTTATTTGCTTGTTTTATGAAAGGGACAGCTCATCTGATTCGATTTGGAATTGGGAAGTACTGGGGCTTCTGCTTTCAGCTACTTTTTTTTTTTTTTTTGGGTTCTGCATTTGGATGCTTCTTTGGCTGCAAATTTCGTCTTCTCCGAGCCTTGGCTCAAGGGCTATGGAAGTTGTCACTTTCTGTAGCTTGCGAGGTGGGGCAGGAACTGTTCTGTTTGTTTGTTTGTTTAGCCTTCCTTGCTAGACTTGGAGCAAAAAATGTTTGGTGTTGAGAAATTAAGGATTGTGGAGTGGGAAATGGAAAAGCACGAGAGGGAGATGAACTTGCTGTTTCGCTAATACATAGTGAATCAATCTGAAGGTTGGTTAATCGTGTTAAGCTGGTGTAGGTTGAGGATGAATCCTTCTTTAGTTCAGTTACCATGAACCTTTTGTTATTTAGAACTTCATGATACGTGGAACTTCTTGATGCTTTTAGTCATCTACTTGATGTGGTTTTAGGTAAGTTTGTATCTTGTTTGAGTTTGATAGAAATTCATATAGCCCCAGAAGCTCAATCGCTTTGGTAAGCGGAATAAAAACCATGTCACATTTTGCTTGTGCTTTATTATACATTGTTTGGATGCTTCCGTGCTTTCAGAAACTTTATGAGTCTTTTGGTCGTAGTTGCTTAAACTGTCTGCCTTTTTAACAGGACGGAGGTAGGCCATTGCCGAAATTTGGGGAATGGGATGTTAATGATCCTGCTTCAGCAGAAGGATTTACTGTGATCTTTAACAAGGCCAGGGATGAGAAGAAAACCGGTGGCAAACCAGAGTCGCCAGGAAAGGGCGATTCTCATACTAAGGGGCCAATGGAGCATGGAAAGCCTCCTGCTGTAAGTTGTTTGATCCCCCCTCCCCTGGTCCCATGCTTATCCCCTATAGTTTGATGCTAGGATAGTAGGATTACATACTAATAGCACTATAGTACTTTCACGCATGGCCAAAATCTATATAGTTGAAAGGGGTGTATCTTCATAGGTTGTGTGGTCTTTTGTTATAATCAAGGGTAGAATCTATTGTCAAAGTGTATAGATAAACATTTAATATCTGCACTTAGTATTGCAGCACCCTGCCAAGTATGCTTCTAGTAGGGATGACAATTTCCACATGCTTCAATCTGTCCCGGGGAGCAACATGAGGTGGGGCAGGGCCTTACTCCACGCCTCATCCCAACCTGTTTTTGCCTCGCTCTATCTCAAGTCTCAACACTATAATATTTATTCAATTTTATGCTACTTTCACTTAAGTTCAAATACTTTGGTGCATTATTCATGTCATTGTGTTCATTTAGAAAGTGTTCTCCCTTTGTGTTTACATATAGAATTGGAGGAGATGTACTCTAATCACTTGTTAGAGTGGGTCGTCCTGCCCTGACATGTGTCCTAGTCATTTGTTATAGTGGGACAGGTATATGGGGATTGAGTTACTACAACCCCATTGTTATTCCTGGTTCTAAGAATATCCCAAACGAACGCTTTCAAACTTTCTGGGTGCATCATTAACGTTTCCTTCCAGTGATCATCTTGTCTAATACTTGTGTGGTCCTGTTGTTATTTTCAGAAGAAATGGTTCTGCTGCATCCAAAGTTCAGCAGCAGAAGCTTGACAAATTTCTTGGCTGCAGAGGAAGAAGTTGCTTCATGTAACTGTTATGTCATCCCACCATATAAATGTTTTCTTCAAGAAGATGATAGGGGAGCTGTAGAGCGGGTCATGAATCCTCCTGGAGTTCGTTGTTCTTTTTTCTTTCTTTTGGGTGTTGTGAAAACTGCGGTTTTTGGTGGAGGCAAAAAGGAAAATATGATTTGAAATACCAAGGTCATTTGTATCTTGTAAAGATGCAGTTTATATATATGGTCATCTAATCTGTTCTCTCCCATTTTCTCATGTTACGAGCTTGTAGAGAGCTTTTGTGATATCTGCCCCTCTGAATTCGTTCTACTGTACTGGTCAATTGGTTTTCTTTCGCAATATATAACCTCATTCTTTCCAGGTTTCACTTTTAGCATCACCTGAACAGTGTGGACTTGTTCAAATTCAAGCAGGTTTCTATCCAGGTAGTATAACGGCCAAACTGGCCAGAACAAGTATTTCATAATATTTGTTCATCACATCAGCCTAGTTAGTGACTACTTGTATTTTGGCTCGAAAGCCTGCACGGTTTGATCACTTCATGACTAGTATGAGATATCTAAACATGCTGCTGGTGAAAAACTGATGGGACTTGGTCTCAGTAAGAGGTGAAGCAATTTTGAAGTTATTTCCAGTATAACTTAAGATTGTGATCAAATGATTCTAGTATACAAAGTTTTGTTCTTCTCGCTAAGCAATGCAAAAGAGAGTCCAACAACATGATGAGTAACTAGAGCACATTTCGAAGTGTACATCATGTCGGCAGTCATCTAGAGTCTAGACCCTAGAGACGCCAAGCTTTCGTTCAAAGAGGCGGCGGAGAAGGTAAACTTGAAGAATACTGACTCCGACGAGAGCGGCTGACTCAAAAAACGCCTTATGAACAGCCCTTCGCCCCATTGCATCATTTACTGCGTCCAAAATAGAATCAATTTAGAAACCTTCAAGATACCGGTACAAGAGTTGTTGAAAACCTAGTGAGAATCCAATTCAAATGCAAATGGACGAGTAGTCTTTTGAGCCCTCAAGAACATTTCCATCCTTGCAGTGGACGGTTAACCAGCAACTTCATAAGCGGTCCACACAGATACATCAGCAATTTTAACAATTACTTCAGTCAACAATTTTCAGGCTATCTATATCCTGGGAATTCATTCGACAACGCCAGATCAGACTATCCAAAACAGTTCAAACTCTAAGGTAGAGAAAGAGTCCAGAGTTATTCTTACTTAAAGCTTGGCGTTCAGTCTGTGCCTCCAGCCAATGCTGCTCGAATTGGATGTTGTACAGCGCATCCTCCAACCTCGATATCTCGTGTATCAGAGGCTTCAAATGCTCTAGAAATTCAAAATGCCGGGAATGAGAATCTTCACCCCACCATACTTGACACAAAAGATAAAACACAAAGGGGAGAAAGATGCCTTACCATCCTTTGCATGCTCCTCATAGTACGAGAAGTGGGCTACATGAATATCAAAGTCTATCGTCTCATGGTAGGGAGACTTATTTGTGAAGCAAAAACGATAGACTCCTTTTTGACGAGCCACAAACTCGTGCTTATCGCTGATTTTGTCACGAAAATCATGCATCTGCTCACCGTTAGGCCCCTTGATCTGTGACAATATGACAAAATAGGGGTTACAGGCTTACAGCTTCAACTCCAAACTAAGAGCTGTATCGAAAAAAGAATACAACTACTAATGGCTGCTGCATCATGTATTGACCACTTTTGAGAATCGGAAAATCTAGTTCCTCTGTATAGAGAAGCAAATGCCAAAGCAGAATCTAAAGAGGGGGAACAAGGGCATCAGGTTATAATGCACCAAATAACAAGCGAAATCGTGTCCTAAACGACATGATCACATATCCTGTATCCCAGACATCAAGTAAAGCACGAGGAGAAGCGAGAGCAAACAGAGCAAAGCACATATCACAGAAGGCACCAAAGTCTCTCGTATGTAGATTCATGAACTACATACGCATTTGGCACGAAAAGAGCTCAAATCATTCTTCTTCACTGTAAATATGCCACAACCAACAGGAAAAAAAGATGGCACCCATTCAATAGGAACAATTCAAACACCATACAGATACAATCTAATGCATTAGCAGAACTCATGCTTTATAGATAAACGAACAAGCAAAGCAATGCACAGCAAAAAATGGAGAGCCTTACCACAAGATCAATTCCCTCAGCGCTGTTACGCCAAGATGAATCGGACTTGATCACAACAAAGGATACATGGACCGTGTCTCCATCGTACTTAACATCATGAGAGAAGCATTCTTCTCTGTCAATCACAAATCTGATGCCCGAAACCGCTTGTGGGCTCAAACAAACCGCCAGCAGCACGACAGCGAGAACGCCTCTCATCCCCATTATTCCCATCTGCAAACCACAAACAGCACATGGAAAAAGGGTTCTAAGCAGATGCATGAACTTAGCCAGAACATAAAATGCATGCAACGAATTGAACACAAAGGGTTCTAGCTTCTAAGCAGAATCTAGAAAAAAGATAAATCTACAGAAAGAACACAAATTACAAGAATCCGACAGAAACCCATTCACAGAATTCAGCTGAAACAATCAAAAGTTTGGATCTTTTTGTTTCGGGAACCAGCAAAAATGAAATGGGTTTGCTTGGGAAGTCAAATTACATGAACCCGACAGAACCCCATTGACAGAATTCAACCGAAACAATCGAAAGTTTCAACCTTTCCAGGAAAAAAAATCACATAACTGGAATGGGTTTTGCAGAGATCTACATTTCCTGGTCCTGGGTTCTGGCTTCCCTCATCCCCCCATTTTTCCATAAATAGGGAGAGGAAGAAAGAATCGTCAAAGCAATTTCAACGAAGAAATGGAATTGGAGAGAAAATTATCTGGATCGAGAACGAACTGAGGGATTCTTTAGGTTTACCTTGGCAAGATTTTTCGGTGATTCGATCAGCGCGGTTTCTTCCGGGGTCTCCCCCTTTCAACTATTTATCGGAGAATCAAAACCCAAAGGAAGCGTACTTCGATGTTCGATCCTCGTCGAATTTCAGTTCTGGAAAGAGGCTTCGGTCGTGTCAGTCTCGCCGTACTTGGCTGCGATCCTGTGTGCTGAAGTACACTGGAATCCCTCCTTACGTGGTTCCGTCGGCCGTTGACAAGTTTACACCAGGAGGTTGGGCCCTGGCCCGTTATGTTTGGGCCGCAGTGCTCCACTAGAAAGCCCGTTAATTTTTCTAATGTTGTAATTTGCAGCCAATTTGTGACCAATGAATCAATAAAAATAATTTTTAACCATTCATTAATTGATTTTTTTTTTTGGCAAAGTCAGGGTAAAAATTTCAGTCATACAGAGGAAATAAATAATGCGCGGGATTCGACCAATAATCGAACTCCCGATGAGAGGGCTTTTTGTGCCACATGATGGGCGGCCCTATTAAGTCGACGAGAAACAAAGCAGAAAGAAATCCAACTGAATTGGGAAGCTAGGACCCGGGCATCTTCGAGCACAGCTCCCCTCCGATCATGAGCAAAATCGCCCCCACCATTCGTCGTATCAATTGTTGTGAGTCCCCATGAAATTTGACAAAAACAAAGTCATGGGTCAAGCACCATTGTAAAGCATCTCTTAGGGCTAAACATTCCATAACAAAGGGATCTTGTAAGCCTTCATAACATTTCCCGAAAGCGAAGAGAATATTACTTGATGCTTAGAAACCCACAAAACCAATTCTTCCGCCTTGTCCACGCTTAGCCGCAGCATCGAAGCAAACATTTATTGTGTTTGGAGGAAGTCCATCCACAGTCAGACCGCCATTTCCAGGTCTGCTGGGAGCAGCTTTGTCAGTCCCGGTTGAATGTCCAAGGAGACAACACAAGCCTTAGCATCAAGTGATGAATCACCAACATGGAGAATTCAATAGCCGAAGAAGCATCCCTGCAAACCAAAATAGAGAAAACGGAACTAGGACCATAAAATGCAATAAACCATTTAAAGGATACAACGCTCTATCAGCAGCCATAAGGAACCTGCAAAATAAGAAAACAAAAACCAAGCCAGGGGATCTTGTGGCAGCCATTTGGACATCCTCACAGTCGAACTGAAGGAGATCCCAAGCGAGCAGCACAATCAACGAGCATGATGTTGAAAGCCGTTATCGGGCAGCACCCACGAAGCAAAAAATGCAATCTACTATCATAGAGAGGAAATTTAACCATTATATTTTTTTTTCCTTCATGAATTTTATTTTGAAACTTACGCAATAATTGTAGAATATATAAATGAAAAGTGTCAAAAGAATAATTGAAAAATAAATAAATTATGGAGGATAATTATAAAGAAAACTAAAGAAATAATAAAACAATAAGAGAGGGATACTTATCGGAACTGTCGTTAGAGGTAGCGTAACCGCCACACTGCGTCGGGATTGTAACTGGCGGATCTGTTGAAGGCTGCCGCCGTCTGGAAAAACGACCGTTCTGCCTCTCCCGATGACGAACCCCACGGCCTAGCCCGAATCCCAGCCTGCAATCACCACGCCGGCCTTCCGCAACTTCATCTCCCGCTGCTCCTCCTCCGTCGCCAGTGCTTCTCCCAGCGCCGCCCTTGAACGGAACTCATCGACTGCTCCTCCGCATTCGCTCGCCCTGGCTCCCTCACCGATTCGCCATCCGGATCCGCAAGGCATCCAAGTCGTCCTGACTCCTAGGACGGAACTTATTATTATTTCTCTCCCTAGTTAGCTAGCACCGCCTTTCGCCTTCGTAGACTCGCCGGAGGAGTGCCTCTTTGACTCCATACAAATAACTAAACATCTATTTGTTGGTTGAGATATTTATACTAAAATCATTTATAGTTACAAAAGTCTAAATCAAGTTATTGTGTTAAAAATTAAGAATTTTTAATAAGGATGAGTTCACAAGGTAATTGCTAGGAGTCATTTGGTTTATGGTTGTGAGCCTGTGACTCCATACCAAATTTTGATAATAACAAAACAATTATGATATCAAAGTTTCAACATAAATATTTTAGTTTGTAACAGTGAGCAATTTGTATTTAGATATTAATAATAGATGTGTCTACAATATATCCATGAATCTATATGTATGCGAAATGTCATAATTTTTGTATACATTTTTAAAAAGCTTTAATAAAAAATCAACCTTTTAAAAAATTATAAATTAATTATTCAAACCATATGTTGTTTTAAATGCACCTAAAATCCGTGTGCATTAAAGACACGGTTTATCAGTTACTAAGATAAGTAATAAATTTTTTGTTCCAGAACAAACACGAAAGATAAAGGAAAAAATGCACATTAAAAAGTTAGAAAATTATACACTAAATGACCATATCTAGACAAGAACCCTTGATAGTGTGTGTGAGTGTATTGGGTTAAGATTCTAAACCAACATGTACACAACAACCATGGGTTGAGGGTGAGTACAAACTTCAAGAATTAGTGATCAATACATATTGTATAAGATATTAAATTTGAGTGTCTTGATAGACAAATTTTGATATAAGATCCTCGACCGGGACTTCATGAACAATCAAGTATCTTTATCCAATAATTTGAACTTTCAATAATTGGTTCAGAGATTGTCTTAACTCGAGAATCACGAAGAGTTAAATGTTGTATAATATAATAAATCTGAATGTCTTGGCTGAAAAATCTTAATATGCTATCCTAAATGAGATGTGATAAACCTTCACGACATGATTTGTGATTAGAGAATAATAGCATCATAGGGGTCATGAGTGTGTTAAACATTGAGAATTTTTAGGGGTCGTTTGCTTGTTGGATTTGGGTCATGGATTTGGTACCTAAATCCCAAGTTTGATGGATTTAACACAAGTCCATTGTTTGTTGATGGGTATCAAATCCGTGGGGTCCACGGATTTGGTCTTTAATTTGGGACCAAATCCGTGGACCCCACGGACTTGTAAATCCCACATATTTGTTTGGGATTTGTAAATCCATGATGGTTGTTAGTTGCTTATGTGACAAATCCATCATAAATCCATTATCAATTCTATCATGCAAACACTAGACTTTTCAAATCCATAATACAATAAATCCCTCATGAATCCCAAGGTTTTTGTTGCACAAAACCTTCATTTTTCAAATCCAACAAGCAAACAACCCCTTAATATTAGCATATGCATATCACATATTCGCTTATGAAGTGAGAGTACAAAAAATATAGAAGATTCAAAAGAGTTTAAGCATATCGATAAATCAATTGATATAAATGATAATGGAACTCTCCGGCCAACAGTAGGGATGGCAACAAAACCCGAACCCACGGGTACCCACCCGACCCAACCCGGTCAACGCGGGTAAAATCCGTGTTGACGGGTTTTGAGCCGGGTTTGGGTTTAAACCCGTTCACTATTCACCGGGTTGGGTTGGGTTTGGGTTTAGGTAAACCCGGCCCGTGGGTACCCGCCCACTCATATAATTAATTTTTTCGGTATATTTAAAATTCTAAACAACTAATCTTATTTATGTTTGTGGAGACATGTCTAATTTTTTCTTTTTAATTGTGTAGAATGAAGTTGATGTTATGGAGTGGAGAGTAAAGAAACTTAATTGAAAGGAAGAAGCTTTCAATTAAACATGTTATTTATGGATAATTTGTGATTTGCTTCAATTTTCTTGAGTTTTCTAGATTGGTGTTGAACAATTTGTATAGTTAATTTGTGATTTGCTTGAATTTTCTAGAATGGTGTTTTATATATGGATAAGTTGTATTGAGAAATTGATATTTGACTTTAATTTTGATAAGAACTTGTAATTGTAAATTTTTTACGAAAAAACCCGTGGGTACCCATGAACCCGCGGATACCCAACGGGTTGGGTTGGGTTTGAGTTTTTCAAACCCAGTGGGTTTTACCCCGAGTTTTTTTCAAAGATAAACCCATGGGTTTGGGTTTGGCAAAACCCGACCCAACCCGACCCATTGCCATCCCTAGCCAACAGGCCGGGTAAGAAACTAGTCACAGTAAGTGAATATTTTGTTTATGAATGTGATTGAGGTTGCATGATCCCACGAATCGGAATAATGTGGAAAAGAAAAAGGAGAAAACACACTTTTTGTTTTTTTTTTCTTTTTTATCGAAAACGCCAAAAGGGAGAGTGACCCTACAAAAGCAAAAGTGCCAGCAAGGCAGTGCCTCCGTGTACACCAACTAATTCTCTCTCTTCTCAAAAACGAGGATCACGCACCGTTTGCCAGCTCACTCCTCCGTCCCGTTTTCCTGCCACCACGTCATCGCTGACGCCGACGACGGACGGCGACCTGACTGACCTTTCCCATCTCTCCGTTACCGTCAAATTTTTGCGTTTTGAAGAGATGCCGAAACACGGCAAGGCCCAATTGCAATACCCGGCCCAATTCTCCTTCTCTCTCTCTCTCTCTCTCTCAAGAGGAAACTCTTTTCGCTTCCTCCATTTTCTCTCCGTCTTCCTTTCTTTTCTTCTCCTTTTCCTCTCTCTCTCTCTCTCTCATAAGTCTCCTCTTCCAGCTGCTTGCTCAAAGGTTTCTCGCACTAGAATTCATGTCGGTATGTTAGCTCCCTCTCCTTCTCTTTCTCTGTCTTCGTTTTTTTTCTTCTTCTTCTGGCTGTAATACTACCCTACGAGCGCCGTAAAGTTCGTTACTTTTTTTTTTAACCCTTTTGAGCTTTCTCCTTCATAGCTTGCTTACGATTTCTGATTGATTCGAACTAGATTTTTATTTTTACGCTATTTTGGCATCTGCTGCTGCTGTGCTATGAAATGGTTTCTATTGGGTTTTGCTATTTAGCTGCTGAATAATTATGTGGATTCGATCCTCGGGGGTCGCTTTTCCTTTGTTCTTCGGTTCTGGGTGCTGTGCTGCTGATCAGTTTTGTTTACTTGAATTTTGGGAATCTTCGTATTTTCCCCTTTGTTTGGATCTTTTTTATTTGCTTGTTTTATACAAGGGAGAGGGAACGAACAGCTCATCTGATTCGATTTGGAATTGGGAAGTACTGGGGCTTCAGCTTTCAGCTACTTTTTTTTTCCTTGGGTTCTGCATTTGGATGCTTCTTTGGCTGCAAATT